AGACTAGAGTCCATATACGAATACAATTTGGAGCTAACTAAAATCCGGAATCAAAAAATAAGAAAAATTAAAAGATGAGGTTAGAGAGACCATATAGAGCTTAGAAATAATTAAGGAATATTGAAAAAAAATAGTCTAGAGTCCATATATGAATACAATTTAGAAATAACTGAAATTCGAAAATAAAAAAAGAATATTGAAAGATAAGTTTAGAGTCCATATAGAAAAACATATAAAATTTAGATCTAATTGAATTTCGAAATTAAAAATAAGAAAAATTAAAAGTATAATTTAGAGTCCATATAGAAATACAGCTTAGAAAAAACTAAAACTAGAAATTTAAAAATAAAAAAATATTAGAAAAAGAATCTAGAGTCCATATGAAATACAACTTAGATGAAGCTAAAGTTCAAAATTGAAAAAAAAAAGAAATACTAGAAAAAGAGTCTAAAGTCCATATATGAACACAACTAGCTGGGTGGCCCGCGCAATTGCGTGGCTAGCACCTAAACAAAATCATATATTTTTTTATGATTTCACTTAAAATTTATTAAATAGCTATCTCGTTGTCTTAAGACTTTGAAAGACCAAACCTTATCATCCCCGTGTTTCTATTATATAGTTTTTAACAGTCACACCAGTTGCTACCCTTTACTTCTGTCATCTCCTTCTTTATTTGCTTGCTCAATCTACCACTATTTCTATTCATTCTCCTGGTAACCTTTAAAAATTGGATCTTATAGTTTTTAGAATTTATTGTCACGTTGGGTTTCATTTTTATAATTTCTAGATGCGCAGTCAAATGTTGCCATTATACTCCTCTACGGCCCATCCACTGTCTCTTCTCTTTATTGTCATTGGGATTTTAAAAATCGAACATAATTATCCTTTGGGTTCATTTTTACTTTCTATAAGTCCCGCCAAACCGTCAGCAGCTTTGCCATTATACTCCTCTACGGCTCGTCCGTTGCCTCCCTTCTTTATTGTCATTGAGATTTTAAAATCGAACATGATTATCATTGTTTTTTCTTTTACTTTTTAGAAGTTCCGAACATTTAAAAATTGGACCTTGTAGTTTTTAGAGTTTACTGTCTTGTTGAGTTTCATTTTTTATATTTTTTTAGAAGTCCCATCAAACGATGCCACTACGCTCCTCTACGGCCCGTCCGTCGCCTACTCTTTCTTGTCATTGGGATTCTAATAATCGAACATAACTATTGTTGGAATTCATTTTATATTTTCTAGACGTCCCACCAAACGTTGGTGGCTCTGCAACTATACTCCTCTACACCCCGCCCGCTGCTTCTCCTTTTTATTGTCATTGAGATTTTAAAAATTAAATATGATTATCAATGGGGTTTATATTTTTTACTTTCTAGAAGTCCCGGAAACGGCCTTGCCTGTTGCTTCACGGCTTGCCTGTCGTCCCTCCTTTTAATCGTCATTAGGATTCTATTTGGTGTTTTATTAACAGTTTTTATATGTCGTATCAACCGCCACCACCCTACTTTTAGATGGTTTCGTCATGTGTTTTAGATGGTCTTTTCTTTCAATAGTCTTTTTAACCAATTTTAGTTACTCCATCCGTCACATAAATTGTGCTTGTACTGTTTGACCACTCGTCTTATTCAAAAAAAATTGTGCAAATATAAAAAAATAAAAAGTTGTGTACTGTTTGACCACTCGTCTTATTCAAAAAAAATTGTGCAAATATAAAAAAATAAAAAGTTGTGCTGAAAGTACTTTGGATAATAAAGTAATTCAAAAAAAATAATGATTCCAAATTTTTTTTGAATAAGACGAGTGGTCAAACAGTGTAAACAAAAACTCAAAATCCCTTATGTTATGGGACAGAGTGAGTATTTATGAATTGTATTCCTAACTGAAATCTTGTTTTTGTTTTTCTAATTTCAGAATTTTTTTCCAAATTTTAATTAATATCGTATTCTGTTCTTCTAATTTTTTTTTTCAAATTTTTATTGTCAATTTCAGTTGTTTCAAAATTGTATTCCTACTTGAACTCTCTTTTAATTTTTCTAATTTTGGATAATATTTTATTTTTTTATTCTGAATTTTAATTAATCTTATATTGGGTTCTTATATGGATTCTTCTTTCAATATTGCCTATTTTTAATTCCGAATTTCAGCTAATTTTAAATTGTATTCATACTTAAACTATTTTTTATTTTTTGCTAATTTTGGATTTTATTTTTATTTTTATTCTTAATTTTAATTAATCTCGTATTGGGTTCCTATGTGGACTGTTCTTTCAATATTCCTTATTTTTAATTCCGAATTTCAGTTATTTTTAAATTGTATACCTACTTGGACTCTCCTTTTCTTTTCTAATTTTAGATTTTATTTTATTTTTATTCCAAATTTTGATTAATCTCATATTCGGTTCTTATATGGACTCTTCTTTCACTATTTCTTATTTTTAATTCCGAATTTCAGCTATTTTTAAATTTTTATTTCTACTTGGACTCTCCTTTTCTTTTTCTCCGATTAATGTGGGAATTTCTAGCCCCCACAGCGAACGTGGTGCCTCCTTTCAAAGCTGTTTTAAAAATATAACAGATAGATTTGGAAATAACTAAAATTTAAAATTAAAAAATAAGAAATATTGAAAGAGGAGTCTAGAGTTTATATAGAAATACAATTTAGAAATAAATGAAATTAGAGATTTTAAACTAAGGAATATTGAAATAACGGTTTAGAGTCCATATTGGAATAAAATTTGTAAATAACATGACTTCGGAATTGAAAAATAAGAAATATTAGAATATGAGTTTATAGTTTATATAGGAATACAATTTATAATTAACTAAAATTAGAATATTAAATAATTAATAAATATCATGTATATAAAATACAATATGAATATTACACATCTGTTAAGGTGTGTTCGGATGTCTCCTTTCCCAACCCCTCTTCCTCGTTTTCCACGCGCACGCTTTTCAAACTGCTAAAAGGTGTGTGTTTTGCAAAAAGTTTCTATACGAAAGTTGTTTAAAAAAATCAAATTAATTCATTTTAAAAAAATAGCTAATACTTAATTAATCACGTGCTAATGGACTGTTCCGTTTTCCGTGTGTTACTATTCCGGTTGGGATCTGGAGGTAGCGAACACAGCCTTAGTTTGGTCAAGTTGGTACAAAATTAAAAGTTATGCTATAATTTTAATATATTTTAATAATAAAATATAAAAATATATATGATATTGTATAAAAGAATGTAACGATACTAGCCGCGCAATCTGCGCGGGCCACTATACCAATTTTTAATAAAGTTTAGGAAATAAAAGTCTATTTGCACTCCGAAGATGCACTAGCAATTAATTAAGGAAACACAATAAGCCTCACGCCTGCGGAGCTACATGGCATGAACTGTGTACATATTAAATCATGTAGGTGATTGGTAGCAGTATAAGATCAGTCTGAGAGACTCGAGCATTTATGGATGATGTACGCGTTAATTAACATTAGTACGTTCATGGCACACGGCACAGTGGTACATCATTCAAGTCATCTCTATATCACGTCATTAATAAGAAATCTTGAACCACGCAAGCTTTACCAACTGCCAAGCCTGTACTCCTCTCCGTTTTTTAAAGGAAATCGTTTAGAGCAAGTACTATAATATCTCATATGTTGCCCCTAAAAATGCCACATTAGATTGGGTGATGAGGTAGAGGAGAGAAGTGGAGAGAGAGAAGATGAGCCACCCCTAAATCAAGAGATAACCTCCACACAAATTTCAAGAAGTGTGTGAGAGTATTAGAGATATTGGTATTTGTGTGTTAGAGGTGATACATTGTATGTGTTGCCTCTTAATTCATGAGTGAATAAAATAGATAAATTTAGAGGTGATAGTCACATCTACCATAGCACTTGCCCTTAGAACAGCGACACGGTCTTCAAAATATAACTTTGACTTCTTGATTCTATAAAAAAATATTTATTAAAAAGATATAACTTTTGACTTCTTGCTTCTATAAAAAAACATTTATTAAAAAGTAATATATGTATATTTTTATGAAAGTATTTTTCAAGACAAATCTATTTACTCAACAACTTAAGAGTTATTTATAATTTATATTTTTCAAGGTTTGACTTGAAAATTGTGCTATAGGACTTTCTTTGAGTAGTGGAGTACGTAAGATCGCTATCACATTTAGGAATCCGACCCGCAAGCTCTCATACGGCGAGCTCATCGTGCATAATTAATCACGTCGATTTGTTGTGAAAGCTAGTAGCATTAACACATTCTGTTGGCAGTTGGCGGCTGTACGGTCACGACTCATGACACAGTACTCCTAGTCAAACCCTCTGTTCACCAGTCCGTCGGTTCGATCGGCGATCAAACTACGGTTTTGCTTAAAGATAATACTCCGAAAATTTATTTCTCGCCTAAAAAGATATTTCCATCTTTATTTTAATGAAGTTCTAAAGCCTATTCAGATTTGTGACATTGAACCATATCATTTTTTTTAAAAAAAAAATCACAAACACGTGGATGCATGATGTTTGTTACCAAATATTAATAATACCTAACGAATTTTGGTACAACATATTTAGCTTATCCTATCAAACTTTAGCAGTGTATAGTCGACTTGCTAATTTTAACATTGGCAAATTCTAAAAAATATTTATATTTTAGCAGTAATCTGAATATGCCCATAGTCTATCATTATAAAGCCTATAATTCAAACAACTAAATATTACATATTCACAATTTGATGCATAAAAGAAATCAATTGGAGCACGCAAGGTATATTGTATATTTCTACTCTACAATAACAAAGAGCTCTATTTCCGGCGGAGACAAGATGCCGCTTCCTCATGGGAGCCCTGTTTTTTTCCCCCTGGTTGAACCGTCGGCCAGGTCCAGTATTTTCAACACCCAGTACCCACATGAATACCCTGCACTACCACCAGAAATGAGACGGACCGATAACGCCCAGTCCCCCACATGAATACCCTGCACTACCACCAACACACCACTCGTCTCATTTCTGGCCTATATATCGGAACATGTGTTTCGGTCTAGCTAGGCGGTGGACGCGCGCATGCCCATGCAAAACCAGCTCAGCTCACTACACTACACTTTCTCTAGCTAGCTAGCGCGCGACGGGCGACGCAGTTAAGCCGCGGCCCACACGAGATGAACGCGGCGGGTGCAGACACCGACACCGTCCTGCGGAAGCGGCAACTCACCGTCCGCACGACGAGCAGCAACGGCGGCAATGGGTTCCGGGTCGGCGGCGGCAAGGGGGCGGCGGCGGCGACGCCGCCGGAGCCCGTCAGCCCCTCCGCGCGGCTCCTGGAGGACTTTTTCATCGTCGTGGTGATCGGCATTGCCACGCCGGTGAACGACCCCGTCGCCCGCGCCGGCATCGCCGCCCAGTTCGCGCGCTACCCACGCTTCCGCAGCATCCAGGTCGGTCCGTGCACCTGCCTTGCCGCGCGCGGCGCGCCCATGAGCTCGCCGCTGGTGCTTGAGCTGACGAACGGCACGAGTGTGTGTGTGCGCGCGTGTGCAGGTGACGGATGAGGACGGCGGCAACCCGCGGTGGGTGCGGACGACGCTGAACGTGGACGACCACATCATCTACCCGGAGCTGGACATGGACGCGGTGGCGGCCGACCCGGACAAGGCGGTGGAGGACTACGTGGCGTCGCTGTCCACCAAGCCCATGGACGAGTCGCGGCCGCTGTGGGAGTTCCACGTGCTGGACTTCCCGACGTCGGAGGCGGCGGCCACCACGGCGATCCGCGTGCACCACTCCCTCGGGGACGGCATGTCGCTGCTCACGCTCCTCATGGCATGCACCCGCAGCGCCGCCGACCCGGCGAGGCTGCCCGCCATGCCGCCGCAGCCGACGCGCACCGGCGCGATCTACGCGCGGCCCAGGCCGCCGGCGTCGGCGGGCGCGCTGGCGTTCGCTGCGTGGCTCTGGTCGTTCGTCGCGCTGGCGTGGCACACCGTGGTGGACGTCGCGAGCTTCTTCGCCACGACCATGTTCCTCAAGGACCCGCACACGCTGTTCAAGCGGGTGAAGCACGGGGAGTTCCAGCGGAAGCGCATCGTGCACCGGGGGCTTAGCTTTGATGACGTCAAGCTCGTCAAGAACGCCATGAACTGCGTAAGCAATGTTTTCTTTAGTTCTTAGCGAGCCTGTTTGTTTGAGTATAGCGGCATATAAATTGCAGAAAACTTTAAAATTAAAATTTAAGAATTTCGTTTTTGGTCACTTTCTAGCACTACTAGAAAAATATTCCATCCATTCCAAAATATAAGGCATAACCACCCCTAACTAAAAGACCAAGAAATAATTATTATCATCTTGTAGTTTGGATCATCCTAATAAATACAATGCATGAATCTAATAGAATTAGGGAACATGAGAGTGCATGATTTTAAAAAATAATAATTTAATGGAGAAGGGGCCATAGTTAATTGCCTACATGTATGCATACCTTATATTATGGAACATTTAAAAAAAAGTAATTGTGCTTTATATTATGAAATGGAGGGAGTAATTTTTAGCAACATTGGTCTTTTATTTTTCCAGACGGGTATGACCATTGGAGCCAAATAGATGCCTACAAAAATACAAATCGGGGTGAAACCCACTGCCCGCCTTTCACAGGCGGACCATATAAGTGGTCCGCCTGCAAAAATATGGTCCGCCTGCGAAAATACATAGCGAATACAAATAGAGGCTACATACCCTAGATTTTTTCTATGTCCTCTTTCCCTCACCTCTCAGCTCTCTCCCGCACCTCTCCCCACCCCTCACCTCTCCTCCTCTCCCTGGCGCTGACGGCGGTGTAGGGCGCGCGGCGTCTACCATTGGAGGCGGCGGCGGAGGGCGGTGGCCAGCGGCCGGAGGGCGGGGTGAGGGCGGTGGCCACGAGTGCGGCGGCGGCGGTGGCGGGAGGTTGGCGGCGGCGAGAGGAAGGGGGCCGCGACGACGTCAGAGGAACCGATGGCCTGGTCGGCGCGCGCAAGGAGAGGAGCAGCCGGCGGCCGTCGGCGCCTCGATGCGCGCAAGGAGGAGGCGGCGGCCAAGAGGAGCGGCGGCGGCTCTGGGCACCAACTTCCTTCCCCCCAGACGCCGACGGCGGCGGCGGCGCAGACAGCACCGGCCACTCCCCTCCCAGATCTGGACGGAAGAGGGGAGCCGGCCAGCAGCGGCGGCAAAGGCGGCGCTCCCCTCGCCCTCGGGTAACGGCACCGGACGGAGGTGGAGAGCCATCGGCCGGAGGAGGATGCCGGCGCCGGCGGGTAGCGCCGGATTTTTTTTGTTCCCTCGCTTTATTTTCGCAGGCGGGCCATGGACCCGCATGCGAAAATAACCTATTTTCACAGGCGATGGGATAGCCGCGGATGACTCCCCCGCCTGCGAAAACCTTTTTGGCCGCCTGTGTAAAAACTATTTTTCTAGTAGTGTAGCCTTGATCTAAGATTAGGTACTCCACTATATTGACTAGGAGTATGATATTATCTTTGACCAGTATCTTTTTAAAGAAAATTACGTTGTTTTGATGAACGTAAATAGTATAGTTATATTTAGCATCTAAAATGCTTTGGTAATACAAATCTTTTTACATATACTCTTTTAGAAGTCATGTGGTCAAAGTATCCTGCTAACAAGTGAAAAAAGAACAAAGGGAATGTAAAAATTTGAGACTAATGTTTTTTCGTTAGTTTGGTCGAGTGTCGCTGTCTTATAAACTGTACTCCGTAGGTCTTTAGCAGTAAAAATATCTTCCACATAGGACCTGCTCTCTCCGTCTCTGAAATAGATTTGTTTATATTTGTATTATTAGAATATGTATGTCATATTGTTTATTAGATTTTTTATTTTAAAATGGATAAAATATTAGTATACAAATATCATTAAACACGAATTTTTTTTCTGTCTATCATTTTCGCTCCATTTCTATACTTCACCTGTTTGCAAGTTGACTGTAGCAAAGGACAGAGCCCTCAGCAAAAGCTCTGGGGAGATTTACGTTGTGTTTAGTTCCAAAATAATAGATTTACGTTGTGTTTAGTTCCAAAATAATTTTTCAAATTTCTAATTTTTTCATCACATCAAAATTTTTCTACACACAAACTTTCAACTTTTTCATCACATCATTCTAATTTCAATTAAACTTTCAATTTTAGCTGCCCTTATTTCATTCTCTTTATGTTTGCCTGCACTCTCGCAGACAGTCAATGATGTGCTGGTTGGGATCACGTACTCTGCACTGTCACGATATTACTAACGGAAGTCAGGTGACCAATTTTGGCTGATACAGCAGCTGCTGATTGGCTGATAACTTTTTAAGTCCCTATCACATCGGATGTTTGAACACTAATTATAAATATTAAATGTAGACTATTAATAAAACCCATCCATAATCTTGGACTAATTCGCGAGACGAATCTATTGAGCCTAATTAATCCATGATTAACCTATATGATGTTACAGTAAATATTCTCTAATTATAGATTAATTAGGCTTAAAAATTTTGTCTCGCGAATTAGCTTTCATTTTTGTAATTAGTTTTGTAAGTAGTCTATATTTAATACTCTAAATTAGTGTCTAAATACAGAGACTAAATTTAAATCTCTGGATCAAACACCACCTTAAATTGCGGCCTGGCTGATACAGTAGTACTAGTTCTTTACTCCCATGTTGCTTGTTCTCCTTTGCACCACGTTGCTTGTTCTCCTTTGCAGGTGACACGGACACTGACGAGGATATACGTTTGAGAACGATCCTCCTTGTCAATTTGAGGCCAACCACAAGCCTGCATGTAATAATTACACTTGGGCTCAAGATTGGCCATTTAAGCTCACAGGACCAAACATTGTTGTTGCTAGTATATTTGTAGTGGTAGCAATTTTGGACTGGTAGAATCTATTATGATTTCTTTCCCATTTCTATGGCCACAGGCATACGTAGATATGATCAATTCTGGCAGAGAGGATGAAGTGAAATGGGGAAACGCACTTGGTTTCATAATCCTCCCGTTCTTCATAGGCATGCACAAGGATCCACTAGACTACGTTCGTAAAGCCAAGAAGGTTGTTGATAGGAAGAAGAGCTCGTTAGAAGTGGTATTCACTCATTTAGCTGCAGAAGTGATCCTCAAACTTTTTGGGCTCAAGGTAAATTTGTCCTTTATCGTACCATCGCCTCATCAGGAACTTGATCCTTATATTATTAACTTGGCAGGCAATGCGATAATCACTTTGTTTCTATTGACAAGCACTGGTTTAATTCAAAAAACAATCGAGAATTCAGGATACTCCAAGTATAACTGAATACCTGATTTAGTATTTGCTGCCTAACCATGCTAATTTAGTTATCAAGAAAATACAATTCGTAGGTGTACAAGATTGTGATATTCACTAGAAATTGTGTACAGTCCCAGTTGTTGGCAGTGGCTAACTTCCTTGTTTCCTAGAAAGAGCATTACACCGCCAAATTTTGAGTCATGCGCCAAAAAAACATCCCCTGTGGATTTCTTTGTTCCTAATATCATTGCAACTTGTGAATCAAACAGGCAGCAGCTGCTATCTTCCATCGTATGATCTCTCATACTACCATATCATTCTCCAACATGATCGGCCCAGTTGAACAGGTGGAGTTTTGTGGGCATCCAGTTGTCTTCATTGCCCCTAGCGGCTATGGACCTCCAGAAGTAAGTTCCTGAAATGTATATTTGCCCTAGAATTAAATAATTGCATTAACTTGTTAGTATGTCAGATCCTCAAATCTATGACAGGGAAGGGTTTTTTTGCCACTAAGGAATGATGATACCTTGTTTTTGCTATGAGCATCTCACTTTTGTCACTAGGGCTAAAAAACAAATGAATGACGAACGTCAGAACATGCGATGATCCTTGGCTTAGTGGCAAAAACAGTATGAAAAAAAAAAACCCAAAAAATTCCCATGAAATATAGCCTGGTAGCTGTCTACCATATATCATTAAGTCATCGCGAAAATAAGGTAATCTGACTGAAACTAATTGCTTTGATCCGTTGAAAAAAGAAGTAATTAAGCCCTTGTATGACACTTTTATAACAAGGATAACAAGTGCATAGTGATGAATAATCCTTCAGCGTTGTAGATGGTGAAAGTATTTTTTTCACTTTGTCATGGAATCTGGGTACAGATGTGATGAGCAAGACCTAATTTACATCTAACTGTTTGGTTTGCTTGTGTAGGCCTTAACCGTGAATTTTCAAAGTTACGTTAACACCATGATGGTAAATCTTGCCGTGGACGAGGCACAATTTCCAGATTGTCATGAGCTTTTGGATGATTTTTCCGAATCCCTCAGGCAGATAAAGGATGCAGCTTTGAGCCTAGGAAAGCATCACACCAAGGCTTAAGGCACTACTTAATCATTGCACACATGCATGTATTCGTAAGAATGATTGTACCCCCTCCGTACTCGTAAAGGAAGTCGTTTAGGATAATATTTAAGTCAAACCTTGAAAATATAAATCATAAATAACTCTCAAATTGTTGAGTTTGAAAAGTGATATAAATAACTCTCAAATTGTTGAGTTTGAATAAAATTATCTTGAAAAATACTTTCATAAAAGCATACATATATCACTTTTCAATAAATATTTTTATAGAAACAAGAAGTTAAAGTTGTGCTTTATAGACCGTGTCGCTGTCCTAAACGACTTCCTTTACGAGTACGGAGGGAGTACCATCCAAATATCTAATACTACTGGTAAGTGGTATCTATTTGTATGCACTGTAGCAACTAAATCTAAAGTCAAATGAAACCATCAGATGTTTTATGATCAGAAGTTTCCAGAGAACAAGCTCTGGCTTTTGGTTAAATATTCTCTGAAAAAATAAGAATAAATGGTGGTCTGCTATGCTTTACTTTGCTTACCATGTGTAACGTACGTGTAGCATAGTAAAGTAAATGCCCAGATATTACTCATCTTCTTCAAAGTCCATAAGAAAATCAGTCAAGTTCTCAGAATCTGCAATAGCTTCTTTTAGTGACAGTTGATCTTTCTTCGAGTTTTCCGTGAGTTACTGAGTTGTGATCACTGACGAATGTATCCATTACGACAGGGTACGTTACGTGCTTGGAGTGGGAGTTGATACAGTTACAAACTCTATGCATGCATTAGACACTTCCATGAATTTTCTAAACCATATGCACATGATTAGGCAAGACTCATGAATAGGACTGGCAAGAATGCTACACGCTCAGCATTTGTTAGTGCCAAAAGGCTGCACTTTTTTCCATTAGAACACAACTGATAATAATGAAAAGGTACCTTTGGCTTTTCAGAATGTCCGGCAGTCTTTAGAACACTCCAATTACGACTGACCTTCCCTTCAGCATCCTCAGCATCATCCCCATCATCTTCATCATCCTATTGGTAAAGCAGTATAATACAAAGGAATGACAAGCTTTCAAGTAGGACAAGTATCGATAACTACGAAAGGGCATATAGCCTAGTGGTTACAGTGACCTGAGTAGTACCCCAAAGTCCTGAGTTCAAATCTCCTATGGAGCGAATTTCAGATTAGGTTGTTTGCGGGGCTAAGTTCCCTATTTCAATGGCCGTATATATCCATTGGATGTAGAGGCCGGGTAAAAAAATACCCTTGAGTTCAAATCTCCTATGGAGCGAAAATTTCAGATTGGGTTTGCGGGGCTAAGTTCCCTGTCTCATCAATAAATCAACTATTTCCATGTGTACTGCAAGAGAGGCATTCAGCCTCCAATAAGCATGTGTATATGAACTGAAAGATCTGTTGTCACTGCCAGTAATAAGAAGAAATTTGCAAGGCTAATTTGAGAACCGCAGATTGCATGCATTTCCATCAAGTAAACAGTACAGTATTATACCTCTAGTGACTCAGGCTGCGCAACAACTTTGTCAGCATCCTCATCATCACTATCTTCGTTGTATTATTTGAAAAGTAGAGAACATCACAGTGAAATGCGCATAAGTTTGTATGGAGAAGCTTGTATGTAATCTACATTACTTTGCAGTTATGAACCCAAAGAAACAGACTCGTTAAACAATTCTAGCATTTATAAGACAAATTGGGAAGGAAGGTAAATGATCTATACGTCCTCGTTAAACAAAGCAGTCTTTGGAAGAGAGAGGGTGGTTGAGAAGTAAGATGGGGAGAAATTTAAATTGACAGTAGTTGGAGTGAGAAGTACTCCCTCCAGTTTCAAAAATAATCTTAACGTTTTAGACATGATCTCATATACAAGGAGGGATTTATTTGGGTGCCTATTCTCTATTATGCCCATATTAAATACGGTAGTTTGCATATTATACTTGAAATTCTAAGAGCAAGTATAATAGTAGGCTATAAGCCGACTAAATGCTGATGTTGAGGAGAGAAGAAGTGGGCTGTAAACTTACAACCGACTTGGACATAAGAACCAAGAAACTCTATGAGAGAATCAAGTGAGCCCTATATTAATTGTAAAGAGCTAACTATTATATGGGTGGGTGAGAGAAGACCACAAAAAACCTTATAGCCAAAAGGTCGGCTGTATTAGAGCAGGTACAATAGCAGGCTATAAGCCAGCTATAAACATATTTTAAGGAGATAAATAAGGAGAGAGAAGAGCAGCGGACTACAGATTTATAGTCAGCTGTAGCACGAACTCGAATGAGCTATTAGATTGACTATAAATGAATTGGAGCTAGTAGTTGGCTATACTATTAAACTTAAACTTGTTCCTATTAGCCTTGCTCTAATGTAGTCTAGTGGATTGAGTCCACCATTGAATTTTGTGCATGTGGGGATCGAAGCATTGCCATCCCTGGGAATGTATGTATACATGCAAGGGCTAATAAGTCTTTGGTGACCAAGTAAATCTCAAAATGTCTAACAGTTTTGAAACCGGAGGGAGTAGTACTTTAGGATAGTATTTTTAATAAAATTTAGGAAATAAAGTCTATTTATTCCACAAACTTTTTCACTAGAGTTCTTAACCCCTGACTCTTTTTTTGGGCTTATTTTATACTCCCTCTGTCAAAAAAAACTTAACCTAGGAGATGATGTGACAGAGAAGTTGTCTAGATTCGTTGTACTATGAGGGTCGCATCTTCTCCTAGGTTGAGTATTTTTGAGACGGAGGGAGTAAGTCTCTTAAGGTTCACACTTTCATTGAAGGGTCAAGATGCTAGTGCTAGGCCAGTGATATGACGAATTTCATAAATTTTGATAAATTTCATTTGAAATTCAATTAAAAAAACTCAAGTGGTTTTGGAGAGCTCCAGATTTCGGGAGACAAATTTCCAACAAATCCCGAGGCCTCCTTCTAGGACGTTGAGACATAAGCATGCATGGAGGCCAAGCATATAGTATGCTCTGTAAAACACATTTGCTCTTGTACTGTACTCCTTGTACTCACTCTAGCTAGTCACAAATATTTAATATTCAGAACAATATTTGATTAAGTTTTTAAAAATTCTAATCATAAATTTTAAACTAGAATAAATTTATAAAAACTAATAATAGGTTTATGCTATTAGAATAGTATTTTTCAAGACAATTTTTTATGACAAATTTTGCTATAGGACACTTCAAATTGTGTAATTTGTTGGTAGATATCTTACCCGAGAAAGAATTGAAGATGAAATATGATATATGCTCTAGTGATGTATTTATGGTAGTGGCAGATTTAGAGTTCCATAAATTCTAAATTTTTACTCCAACACCATGTTTGAAGCAAGTGACCCTAGGGGGATATATTATTGTCTATTTGAAGAACTTCTCTCTCCAATCGAGTCAGAAGTGTCATTTTCAGCAAATCACTAATTTTCTAGGATGTCTTTTAGCCATGACACGTTTTTACAATATCTATCAGTAAATTATACATATTTCTGATGTCTTGTAGCAAAATTTGTCGATTTTCTTATACCCTATTTTTAAAAGCTGTAATTGAGAAATTGTAGATGGCTAGAATTTAAAATTAAAATATTCAATATTTATAACCAGATGGAGTACCTAGTAACTCCGTATTTCGTTTGCGCGTAGTAACACGAATTGTCGTTGATTCTAGTTGAAAGGAACACAATCACACCGCAGGCACACGGGTGTTTGCCTGCGAATTAATTATATATCGTTGGGCCGTTCATGGATTTTTCGTGTCCCACAATGAAGCTGGCAGATATTTGCACTCCAAAGATGCACTAGCAATTAATTAAGGAAACACAAGAAGCCTCACGCCTGCGGAGCTACATAAGCCCTTTAGTTTAGATTTATAAGCCAATTTATAAGTCGAAAAGTCTAAACCTAAACAAACAAGCAGCTTTTCCGTTTGGCTTGTTTGAAGCCACAAGCCACTTTAACACTATTAAGCCAAAAGCTAGGTTGGAGAAGCTTTTTTGGCTTATGTGAGGTAGATGTATGACTCAACCACTAAACTTAGGACATTAAATCCATTGTCTTATAAATCATATAAGCCAATAAGTTAACTTAAAAGTCTAGGCCAATAAACCTAAGCCTAAATAAAGAGGGCCATAATAAAATCTCCGTTTGCCATGGCATGAACTGTGTACATATTAAATCATGTAGGTGATTGGTAGCAGTATAGATCAGTCTGAGAGACTTGAGCATATATGGACGATGTACGCGTTAATTAACATTAGTACGTTCACAAATACGAGTACACCTGGCACACGGCACAGTGGTACATCATTCAAGTCATTTCTATACTCCCTCTGGTTCTATAATAAGATGTTTTGGAAGATCAAACTTTTATAAATTTGACCATCAATAACTTTAAAAATATTTAGTTTAAAGAAACTAGAACAACGTATAGATTGTCTTTCAAAGCAATATAATAAAAGTAAACATGTATTTATTTATTGTGTATATTATAATAGGAAAATAAGGTCAAAAATATATTTTGTAAACCGTGTTATTGTCTAAAACTTCAATTAAAATGAAACCTGAGGAGTATATATCACGTCATTAATAAGAAATCTCGAACCATCTAGGCAAGTTTTGACCAACTGCCATTGGACACCATCGCCTGAATGTAAGATCGCTATCACATTTAGGAATCCGACCCGCAAGCTCGCATCCGGCGAGCTCATCGTGCATAATTAATCACGTCGATTTGTCGTGAAAGCTAGTAGCATTAACACATTCCGTTGGCAGTTGGCGGCTGTACGGTCACGACTCATGACACAGTTCTCCTAGTCAACCCTCTGTCACCAGTCCATCGGTTCGATCGGTGATGAAACTACGGTTTTGCTTTAATAAGATAATAAAATTTATTTCTCGCCGAGAAAAATATTTCCATCCTTATTTCAATGAAGTTCTAGAGCCTATTCAGATTTGTGACATTGAACCATATCATTTAAAAAAAACACAAACACGTGGATGATGAAGTTTGTTACCAAACATTAATAACGCCTAAAGAATTTTGATAACAATATATTTAGCTTATCCTATTAAACTTTAGCAATATAGTCAACTTGCTAATTTTAACATCGGCAAATTCTAAAAAATATTTATATTTTAGCAGTAATCGGAATATGCCCATAGTCTATCATTATAGAGCATATAATTCGAACAACTAAATATTACATATTCACAATTTGATGCATAAAAGAAATCAATTGGGCCGGTGTTTAGTTACAAATATTTTTTTCAACCTTCCAACTTTTCAATCACATCAAAACTTTCCTACACACACAAACTTTCAACTTTTCTGTCACATCGTTCTAATTTCAACCAAACTTTCAATTTTGGTGTGAACTAAACACAGACTGGATCACGCAATGTATATTGTATATCTCTACTCTACAACAACAAAGAGCTCTATTTCCGGCGGAGACAAGATGCCGCTTCCTCACGGGAGCCCTGTTTTTTTTTCCCCTGGTTGAATCGTCGGCCCTGGTCACGGACGGATGACGCGCGCCCAGTCCCCACATGAATACCCTGCACTACCACCAACACAACGCTCGTCTCATTTCTGGCCTATATATCGGAACAGGTTTCTCGGTCTAGCTAGGCGGTGGACGCGCGCATTGCCCATGCAAAACCAGCTCACTACACTACACTTTCTCTAGCTAGCGCGACGCAGTTAAGCCGCGGCCCACACGAGATGGACGCGGGTGCAGGCGCAGCCACCGCCCTTCGGAAGCGGCAACTCACCGTCCGCACGACGAGCAGCAACGGCGGCAATGGGTTCCGGGTCGGCGACGGCGGCGGCGGCGGCAGCAAGGGGGCTGCGGCGGCGACGCCGCCGGAGCCCGTCAGCCCCTCCGCGCGGCTCGTGGAGGACTTCTTCATCGTCGTGGTGATCGGCATCGCCACGCCGGTGAACGACCCCGTCGCCCGCGCCGGCATCGCCGCCCAGCTCGCGCGCTACCCACGCTTCCGCAGCATCCAGGTCGGTCCGTACACCTGCCGTACCGCGGGCGGCGCGCCCAGGAGCTCGCCACTGGTGCTTGGGCTGATCTGACGAACGGTACGTACGTGTGTGTGCGTGTGCAGGTGACGGATGAGGACGGCGGCAACCCGCGGTGGGTGCGGACGACGGTGAACCTGGACGACCACATCATCTACCCGGAGTTGGACATGGACGCGGTGGCGGCCGACCCGGACAAGGCGGTGGAGGACTACGTGGCGTCGCTGTCCACCAAGCCCATGGACGAGTCGCGGCCGCTGTGGGAGTTCCACGTGCTGGACTTCCCGACGTCGGAGGCGGCGGCCACCACGGCGATCCGCGTGCACCACTCCCTCGGGGACGGCATGTCGCTGCTCACGCTCCTCATGGCGTGCACGCGCAGCGCCGCCGACCCGGCGAGGCTGCCCGCCATGCCGCCGCTGCCGACGCGCGCCGGCGCGATCTACGCGCGGCCCAGGCCGCCGGCGTCGGCGGGCGCGCTGGCGTTCGCCGCGTGGCTCTGGTCGTTCGTCGCGCTGGCGTGGCACACCGTGGTGGACGTCGCGAGCTTCTTCGCCACGACCATGTTCCTCAAGGATCCGCACACGCTGTTCAAGCGGGTGAAGCACGGGGAGTTCCAGCGGAAGCGCATCGTGCACCGGGGGCTTAGCCTTGATGACGTCAAGCTCGTCAAGAACGCCATGAACTGCGTAAGCGATGTTTTCTTTAGTTCTTAGAGAGCCTGTTTGTTTGAGTATATAGCGGCATATAAATTGCAGAAAACTTTAAAATTAAAATTTTAGAATTGATTTACGGAATTTCGTTTTTTGTCACTTTCTAGCCTTGATCTAAGATTAGAAGTACTCCACTATATTGACTAGTATGATATTATCTTTGACCAGTATCTTTTTAAATAAAATTACGATGTTTTTATGAACTTAAATAGTATAGTTATATTTAGCATGCAAAATGCTTTGATAATACAAATTTTTTTACATATACTCTTTTAGAAGTCATGTAGTCAAAGTATCCTGCTAACAAGTGAAAAAAGAAAAAAGAGAGTATAAAATTTTTAAGACTAATGGTTTTTCGTTAGTTTGGTCTAGTGTTGCTGTCTTATAAACTGTCGGTCTGTAGAAGTAATAATATCTTCCACATAGGACCTACTCTCTCCGTCTCTATAATAGATTTTTTTAGATTCGTATTCCTAGATTATGCCATATCGATTATCAGATTTTTTATTTTAAAATGGATAAAATATTAGTATACATAATCATTAAACACGAATTTTTTTCTGTCTATCATTTTCCCTCCATTTCTATACTTCACCTGCTTGCAAATTGAATGTAGCAAAGGACAGAACCCTCAGCAAAAGTTCTGGGGAGATTTATTTCCTCTCTTTATGTTTGCCTGCACTCTCGCAGACGGTCAATGATGTGCTGGTTGGGATCACGTACTCTGCACTGTCGCGCTATTACTACCGGAAGTCAGGTGACCAATTGCGTCCAATAAAATCATGCTCCAGCAGCTGCTGCCTGGCTGATACAGTAGCTCTTAAATTGCGGCCTGGCTGATACAGTAGTTCTTTACTCCCACGCTGCTTGTTCTCCTTTGCAGGTGACATGGACACTGACGAGGATATACGTTTGAGATCGATCCTCCTTGTCAATTTGAGGCCAACCACAAGCCTGCATGTAATAATTATACTTGGATTCAAGATTGGCAATTTAAGCTCACAGGACCGAACATTGTTGTTGCTATACTTGTAGTGGTAGCAATTTTGGACTGGTAAAATCTATTGTGATTTCTTTCCCATTTCAATGGCCAGGCATACGTAGATATGATCAATTCTGGCAGAGAGGATGAAGTGAAATGGGGAAATGCACTTGGTTTCATAATCCTCCCGTTCTTCATAGGCGTGCACAAAGATCCACTAGACTACGTTCGGAAAGCAAAGAAGGTTGTTGATAGGAAGAAGAGCTCATTAGAAGTGGTATTCACTCATTTAGCTGCAGAAGTGATCCTCAAACTTTTTGGGCTCAAGGTAAATTTGTCCTTTATTGTACTATCGCCTCATCAGCAACTTGATCCTTATATTATTATCTTGGCAGGCAATGCGATAATCACTTTGTTTCTATTGACAAGCACTGGTTTAGTTCACAAAACAATAGATTTCAGGATACTCCAAGTATAACTGAATACCTGATTTAGTATTTGCTGTCTAACCATGCTAATTTAGTTATCAAGAAAATACAATCGTAGGTGTACAAGATTGTGATATTCACTAGAAATTGTGTACAGTCCCAGTTGTTGGCAGTGGTTAACTTCCTTGTTTCCTAGAAAGAGCATTACAGCGCCAAATTTTGAGCCATGCGCCAAAAAACATCCCCTGTGGATTTCTTTGTTCCCAATATCATTGCAACTTGTGAATCAAACAGGCAGCAGCTGCTATCTTCCATCGTATGATCTCTCATACTACCATATCATTCTCCAACATGATCGGCCCAGTTGAACAGGTGGAGTTTTGTGGGCATCCAGTTGTCTTCATTGCCCCTAGCGGCTATGGACCTCCAGAAGTAAGTTCCCTGAAATGCATATTTGCCATAGAATTAAATAATTGCATTAACTTGTTAGTATGTCAGATCCTCAAATCTATGACAGGGAAGGGTTTTTTTTGCCACTAAGCAATGATGATACCTTGTTTTTGCTATGAGTATCTCACTTTTGTCGCTAGGGCTAAAAAACAAATGAATGACGAACGTGAGATGATCCTTGGCTTAGTGGCAAAAACAGTATGAAAAAAAAAATCTGCTAATGAAAAAAAAAACCAAAAATTTCCCATGAAATATGGCCTGGTAGCTGTCTAGCAGATATCACTAAGTCATCGCGAAAATAAGGTAATCTGACTGAAACTAATTGCTTTGATCTGTTGAAAAAAGAAGTAATTAAGCCCTTGTATGACACTTTTATAACAAGGATAACAAGTGCATAGTGATGAATAATCCTTCAGCGTTGTAGATGGTGAAAGTATTTTTTTTCCCTTTGTCATGGAATCTCGGTACAGATGCGATTAGCAAGACGTAGTTTACATCTAAATGTTTGGTTTGCTTGTGCAGGCCTTAACCGTGAATTTTCAAAGTTACGTTAACACCATGATGGTAAATCTTGCCGTGGACGAGGCACAATTTCCAGATTGTCATGAGCTTTTGGATGATTTTTCCGAATCCCTCAGGCAGATAAAGGATGCAGCTTTGAGCCTAGGAAAGCATCACACGAAGGCTTAAGGCACTATTTAATCATTGCACACAGGCATGTATTCGTAAGAATGATTGTACCATCCAAATATCAAATACTACTGGCAAGTGGTATCTATTTGTATGCACTGTAGCAACTAAACCTAAAGTCAAATGACTAGATAAAAACCATCAGATGCTTTATGATCAGAAGTTTCCAGAGAACAAGCTCTGGCTTTTGGTTAAATATTCTCTGAAAAATTAAGAATAAATGGTAGTCTGCTATGCTTTACTTTGCTTACCATGTGTAACGTGCAGCATAGTAAAGTAAATGCCCAGATATTACTCATCTTCTTCGAAGTCCATAAGAAAATCAGTCAAGTTCTCAGAATCTGCAATAGCTTCTTTTAGCGACAGTTGATCTTTCTTCGACTTTTCCTAGAAAAACGGAAAGAAATAAGCAGTCATCCGTGAGTTACTGAGTTGTGATCACTGACGAATGTATCCTTTACGACAGGGTACGTTACGTGCTTGGAGTGGGAGTTGATACAGTTACAAACTCTATGCATGCATTAGACACTTCCATGAATTTACACAAAATTAAACCATATGCACATAATTAGGCAAGATAGTGAATAGGACTGCTGGACTGGCAAGAATGCTACTCGCTCAGCATTTATTAATGCCAAAAGGCTGAACTTTTTCCATTAGAACAGAACTGATAATAATGAAAAGGTACCTTTGGATTTTCAGCCTGTCCGGTAGTTTTTAGAACACTCCAATTACGACTGACCTTCCCTTCAGCATCCTCAGCATCATCACCATCATCTTCATCATCCTATTGGTAAAGCAGTATAATACAAAGGAATGACAAGCTTTCAAGTAGGACAAGTATCGATAACTATCTCATCAATAAATCAACTATTTCCATGCACAGCAAGAGAGGCATTCAGCTTCCAATAAGCATGTATATGAACTGAAAGATCTGTTGTCATTGCCAGTAATAAGAAGAAATTCGCAAGGCTACATTGAGAATCGCAGATTGCATGCATTTCCATCAAGTAAACAGTACAGTATTATACCTCTAGTGACTCAGGCTGCGCAACAACTTTGTCAGCATCCTCCTCATCGTCATCACTATCTTCGTTGTACTATTTGAAAAGTAGAAAACATCACAGTGAAATGCGCGTAAGTTTGTATGGAGAAGCTTTTATATAATCTAGCATTACTTTGCAGTTATGAACCCAAAGAAACAGAATTTACATTTTTTTTATTTCTCCTGTACTGAGAGGTTTTGGTAAAAAATAGAAGCATTTAGGATGGATACTCACAGAATGCTCCCCAATATCAACAGCAGTAGCCATGGGATCTCTGACTTCAGGAAGATACTGTCAAGAAGGTAAGACAGGATAAGTAAAAGAGGTATTTGTGATGCCTATTCTCAACATTCAATTAATACCAAACCAGAGTTACAGTTAAACGTATACCGTAATGTCCTGATTGATGTCTTCCATCTCTTCATTTAAACGGGCATATAGCTCTTCCTTTGTTATCATTATACCATGCTTAAAAGGGGAAAGGCGATATATCATGTTAGAGCTTCATCAGTCCTATTAGCAGCTTAGCGCCAGTTGTCGCATGACTGGCATTGTTAGTACTGTGCTATACTATTGTACTGTTATAAATAACAACAGGTAACATATACTTATGCAGCCATGGCTTTCCAAATCAATAACCATACATCGTCATGAATCCAGTAAATTTTAGGCAGCACATTGTGAAATACTATAAGTTGTGTGGAAGCACTACGACATACCTCCATCAAGTAAGGTACAACTTCAGGTGTAGGCTCATGAAATTCTGGACCCCTGTAGTCCGCTACTTCGTCAGGATCATGAACGTAGTTAATGGTTGGGTAAACAGGATCACCACCCCAAACTGCATATTTTAATATGGAAAGATTATTCCCATGTAAACTGCACCAGGGTATACCTGAAATACTTGTTTGAATATACTAGTTGTAAACATTTCTAATAGACCATTTTAGGTGCATTTATACAGAAACAATGTAGATATCATAAAAATACAAACAGTCACAACAGTGCCACGTGAAACTGGAGAAAACATGTCATGTTGTGTTCAAACCCAGTGACTTCCGTTCCAGGATCATGCCAGTCTATAAGCAGGACAGGAAACAAAGTTTGGTTTGTCATATTTATTTCAAAAACAAACCATAGAAGTTAACAAGTAGTTTGGATGTTCCAAATATATTCTCAGGTAAATGCCAACACTACTTCTGTGCTAAGTTAAGATCATAATATGTGCTCAATTTCCAGGATTTATCATACAATATATTTTAACAGAATAAATACGATTAAAGAAAGAAGCTATTGTAGGATGGACCATGTATAAATTCAGCAAAAGCGGCTTGTAGATGTCAATAATATAAAATGATCAGGATTGAGAAAAGAAGATATACTCTGTTTGATCTGGTCTTCCCGCATCCTCATTGCCAAAGGATCTCGTTGTATGCGAACATCAGTGCCCATCATGATACGGAATTCCCCAGCAGTTTGGTGTTGAAACATTGTTATAAGTTGAGTATTCTCATCTTCGCCAGTCTCCTCAAAGTGTTTCTGTACAGCTTCTCGTGAAGTGTCTTTGTTTTTATACGCTTCAACCCATTCCGAATAGTATGCTATTGGCCCTATTTCTTCTAGTCTCCTTTGTTCTGCTTCTAACCTGTGTTTTCATTGTATATCCAATATAAGAATGGACGGAAGGCAAGATAGAACTATATACCTTAAGAATACTGTGAAAATATCATGTTGAAAGGACGTTGTGTCAATATTTTTTTCTGCTGTCATAACAAGTAACATTGAAGTACAAACCAGCAGGTAGGCAACTAGACATAATAACATCCATCAAATATTTGTTATAAATCAACGAGGGGATACCAAAGGTCAGTTAAAGAGTCTACATAAGCTTAAAGAGTATCATTGCACATATGGTGAAGATATTAAAATTAAAAGCACGGTTTTCACATATGGTGAAGACCCACGAAAAGCAAAATCACTAAATTTTGAGAAAATAATTTCTAGTATTCAGCCAACCTTTCCTCTTTGAATAAATGTCTTCTTGCCTTGGCAAGAGCAGCTTCTGTTCTGGTAGGGTGGTCCCCAAATATTTTGATCTGCCCAGTTTCTGCCATTGCTTTTGCAAAGACCTACAATAATGAAATGAGTGTTACAATTTAAATTATAACTGACAAGACACAGAGCTGTAAGTTAGAAGAAACACTAATCTGAATAATGAAAAAGGTTAAAAACATCAACCAACAATATAGATTAAATTGATAAGCCATGTATAGGAAATGCCACATCTGCAAGCTGTGCACGTGTATCTACCAGGTGGTGGATTTAGTATGGGGGAATAGGCGTTCAACTGAGCCACACAGCTTTTAGGATTCGTGGAATAGAGATGACCCCAGAAGATCCTTATAAATGTTACCAGTCTAGGCTAATGAAGAACCTAATTCTGTCTGAACCCAAGATATATGGTTAAGTATTTCATCTCATTTTGAACTCCCAGAATAAAAATACCAGCTCATCACTGTGTACACTACTCTGCTTGCATCTTTTATACACTAGAAGATGCATACGATGATCATGACGACATTGTGTGGCTTCTGGAAATATTAGCACTACAAACACTATACTTTGGTTGGATATTTTGGCACACACAAAACTACATGTACTCCCTCCGTCCCAAAAATATAAGAACCTAGTACCGAATGGGATGTGTCCAACCAAAGTATATAGTATCCTGCGTCCCATCCAATACTAGGTTCTTATATTTTGGGACAGAGGGAGTACTACCTTAGTGTTTGTGCCTTGTGCTATCAAAATAGGGTATACGAAGACTAGCATACAAACAATTGAAACCCTCAAAATTGTGGTGTGGACATGCAGCAGGAGGAGTGGAGAATAAGAACCATACTGTGTACATCATATTCGCTACTAGGTTATGTTAACAAGTGACAATAGGCAGAAAAACTTAAGTAAAAAAGACTTATAAGTCATTTATTAAGTTCAAACCAATCAAGAACTAACCGTGTCAACATCTGGACGCCTCCTCTGCCATCTTGACCACATTTCATTTTCCTCAGACTTCCTCCTCCAGTTCCACCACAGCTCTTCACTAGATTTTGGTTCCCCTACAGACATTGCCTTCTGCGGGTCAACGAACGGGTGTGGCCGTCCCATCATCTTGTCCATCTCATATTCACTCAAATTTTCTTCCTTGGGCATCTCATAAACGACGTACTCATCCAATGAATCCTTTGTCTCCTCCAGTGTCTCATCTGATGAGGCCTCAATGGCCACAACCGACTCTCCCTCATCTCCACTGGTCTCCGTGCCTCTCCCTGCCGTCGCTGATGCTACCTGCTCCTTGTACCCTTTCCTTCTACTCCCGGGCTTCTTACCAAACGACGGTGTCCCAGCTGATTCCCCGACCGGTGCAGGTGCACGGGCAGCGCGTACGCGGGATGCAGTGCCCTCCGGCCAGTACTCCTGCCCAGGTATGCTTGCCCGAGCACCCGACGCCGGCTCGAGCTGGCCCGACGTGGAGTCGAAGTAACTGGAGTACGGTGGCGCCTCGATCTTAGATGGATCAAAATGGAGCGAGTCGTCCTTGACGCTCCTGATCCTGCCTCTTCGCGTTCTGCTCGACACACCAGAAAACAGCACCCTTCTCCGGTGAGGCAATCCAGCAAACACCTTCTGCGCACGCACCAAACACAAATCAAAATAAAAAAATACTCAGCACCCATGACAACTGGGAGCACGGGAACGCGGTAAAATTTCAGCAATTTTCTCGGGCATTCCGATGGGGGAGGAGTTACCAAGGACTGGAGGGGGCGAGGAACAGTCTGGGCGGTGGCCTGCGGCGCCATGCCTGCGGAGTATTGGAGGGAGGTGAGTTCGCTTGAGCCGTGCGAATTGGCGGTTGGAAATGAGGGGCGAGAGGTCACCTGGGAGGAGCCAAGTGCGGGAGCACGACGCCATGGCTCCGCCTCCGATGCTGCGGTTGGAACCCGAGGTGGACGAGAGAGAGCTAGGGGAGGGAAGCGGATGGGTTGAGCTCCATGGACGCGCACCGAAGTTCAGGTAGCCGGTTTGGTCTTCGGAAGGGGACAGGATAACAAGGAGAGGTTTTCGAAGAGGAACACGGGGTTTATCCGGTGGACTTCAAATTCGAATTTTTTTTATTTATAATTTTTTTTATTAAAAGTTTTACAAAAATAATTTTCCATTTTGAAAATTGACGGAAATAGTCGCCTACAGCCCTCTGGGAGGGCGATTTTTAAAAATCGCCCTCCCAGAGGGCGGCGAAAATGACGTGGCAGACGGCCGTTCGCTCTCGGGCGACGGCCGTCAACGAAATTTGCAGGCGGCCCCCTTGCCGCCCTCCGCGAGGGCGATTTTCTACTGTGCGGGGGGCCGCCTGCAAATGGGCGGCGGGGGGGGCATGGAATTTTTTCAGGCGGCCCCCTTGCCGCCCTCCGCGAGGGCGATTTTCTACTGTGCGGGGGGCCGCCTGCAAATGGGCGGCGAGGGGGGGCATGGAATTTTGCAGGCGGCCCCCTTGCCGCCCTCCGCTAGGGCGATTTTGCACTGTGCGGGGGGGCCGCCTGCAAATGGGCGGCGAGGGGGCATGGAATTTTGCAGGCGGCCCCCTTGCCGCCCTGGGGGAGGGCGATTTTTGCCTCCCCCCTATAAAGCCCAGCCCCTCCCCTGTGAAATTTCATTATATTCACTAAAAATCCAAAAAAACGAAAGAGAGAGAGAGGGGAGGGCAGCAGAAGGGAAGCGGCGAAGCCCTGCTGGTTCGCTCACTTCATCACAGGTATGCTCCCATACATCTTTTGCATTTGTACTAATATATTACGTTTGAGTACATATGTTGCGTTTTAGTTTTAGTTCCATATATTTTAGCAGATCTGTAGCACACAGCACATATGTGTAGATCCAGAGCATAGAATATAATAGTATGAATTGAGACATAGACAGTAGTGTTAATTGTAAGATGTAGTTTAGTTTGATCTGGAGAATGTAACCTACTTTTAGAAATTTAGAGAACAATATTGTAGAGAATGTAACTTAGGGCGTAGTACAGAAATGCGAGGTTAACGCAGTTATTGTTTTCATCAGGCACAATGTCAAGTAAGGTCACATTTCAGATAGTTCACGGTGAAGGAAATATTAGATTTGGTCCAGATGGTGTTGATCTGTCAGATTTTGTAATGACATCTAAGGGCATCGATAGGCCTGCGGAGAGAACATTTGAGTCAATTTATAGTTGGTTGTTGAGAGGATTTAGAATAGACCAAGAAGTCTACACAATGTCAGTATCTGTTGTAGTGAGTCGTGCAATAGAAGGTTATTTTTGGGAACTAATGCCGATGGACAGCACTGCTGCTTGGAGACGGTATGTGGAAATGGCTTTTGAACGGTCATGGCCCCTCGTTATATTTGTGTCGGTACAAGAGAAAGATACAAATGTTTCAATGCAAACCGAAGATGTGGAGGGTCCTAGCAATGCAGGGGATGTTGTTGGACCATCGATGCAAAATGAGGAAAATCAACCAAGGGAGGAGCAGGCCATGGGCATGGCGGATGAGGGGGAGAGAGTCGGTATAATTGTTGATGAAATGGAGAGGGAAGATTCGGATAATGAGCAAGCGGAGGACGACGCATCATCCGATGAGGAAGGTGATGTAATGGCCACTGATTGGGCAAATGAGGACTTCTCTGGTCTTGTTATATCAGAGGGTGATCATGTACCCTGGGAGTATAAGGAGAACGAGGTAATTGAGGGTGCAAGGTATGCTCATAAGGATGAGATGAAGGAGGCGGTGAAGCATTGGGCAGTTTCATTGCAGAGAGAGTTTAGGGTGGTCAAGTCAACAAATTATGTGTATGAAGTGAGGTGCATGAAGGAAGAATGTCCGTGACGTGTCCATGCATATAAGGGTAAATGGAATGATTATTGGAAAGTTAGCATTGTGACCGAGCACAAGTGCTACTTACAAGGGGTGGAGAAGTATCACCGAAACATCACTTCAGCTTTTGTGGCAAGTGAGATGTACAGCAGTGTTGTTGGTAACATTGGCTTTGAACCAAAATCAATTATTAGGCACATCGAGAACAAATTCAAGTACACCATAAGCTATGCAAAGGCCTGGAGAGCCAAACAAAAGATCATTGAGATGAGGTATGGCACATTTGAAGCTTCTTATGATAATTTGCCTCGTTTGTTAGCCACCATTGCCCAGAGGAATAATAATACTTACTATGACCTACATACATTTACATCGGTTGAAGATCGAACAAAGAGTGTGCTGCAAAGAGCCTTTTTCTCATTGGGTGCTTGCATCAATGCTTTTGTGCATTGTCGACCTGTTCTATGCATAGATGGAACTTTTATGACAGGTAAATACCGAGGTCAGATATTGACAGCAATTGGGTGTGATGGGAACAACCAGGTTCTACCTATGGCTTTCGCATTTGTAGAGAGTGAGAACACTGAAAGCTGGTACTGGTTCCTAGAGAGAGTGCACATTGCAGTGGTGCGTATGAGGCCCAACGTTTGCCTTATACATGATCGTCAGTAGTGTTCTACCTCTTCAGTCCTTATGTGACCGTTTCTTTTGGCTTACAAACTTGTAAAGCAGTACTACTTTTGCTATTACTACTGCAGTACTACTTGTGTTTGTCTCGTCTACGTAGTTCTTTTCATTCGTATGGTGCTTGAACAACTTATGCTCACAACAACACACTTTCGGCGCTTCACGGTAGTGCCATATCCAGTAGCGCGCACAGTCCACAACAGCACACATGAAAAGCGGCAGCTCGAGTTATCACTATCAACTTTCGGCGCTGCCTGTTGACATAAAGTGAATCACGCCCACGCGTGATCGTCTTGTCACATCTAATGAATAATGTATCTCATTGAGTTCACATATATTGCAGTGAAAACGACGCTATATAATTGACAATCTGAAGGCAACCTCTTCATATCTTCTTTCCCACTACCACACCACACACGAAAATGGAAGCCTATTAATTGGTAATACGTAATCTAGAATTGAGATTATGTACAACATTATTCACTACAATTTTACATTTTGGCAGCAAACCAAATATGATCAAATGCAATTTTACCTTACCAAATATTTGGTAGTGCCAAAACTTGCTTATATTTTGGCATTAACAAAATATTTGTACGGTAACATTCCAAATATGCCCTAAAAAATAATAAAATTGTATTTTACCAGTCTTGGATATTTTAATCTTGTATAGTTTTCAATATAAAAAGATTTGATAACTATTGATATTTATATAAAAAAAATATAGAGCACAGTACAAAATCGCCCTCCCCCAGGGCGGCAAGGGGGCCGCCTGCAAAATTCCATGCCCCCTCGCCGCCTATTTGCAGGCGGCCCCCCGCACAGTGCAAAATCGCCCTAGCGGAGGGCGGCAAGGGGGCCGCCTGCAAAATTCCATGCCCCCCCTCGCCGCCCATTTGCAGGCGGCCCCCCGCACAGTAGAAAATCGCCCTCGCGGAGGGCGGCAAGGGGGCCGCCTGCAAATTTCGTTGACGGCCGTCGCCCGAGAGCGAACGGCCGTCTGCCACGTCATTTTCGCCGCCCTCTGGGAGGGCGATTTTTAAAAATCGCCCTCCCAGAGGGCGGTAGGCGACTATTTCCGTTAATTTTCAAAATGGAAAATTATTTTTGTAAAACTTTTAATAAAAAAAATTATAAATAAAAAAAATTCCTTCAAATTCAGGCTGCCGGTCTCCACGCTCCTCCAAAGGCCTCGTTTAGCATGGGCCAATTTATGGGCTTTACCTGTGATGGGCCGGGACAGGATTCGGCATATGCTAATCAAGCCCTCTAAGACCAGTCACAACCCAAGACACTAGACATAGTTTCCATACACTCCACATCATCAAGAAACTACACTACTCTCCCAATGCAAACACTACTATTTCATACTTAAATTTAATGCTACTTATCTCACATGATGTCTTGAATGTTGTGTAGAAACCATGTTGCATGCAAGACATTTTCCTTCTCTTTCCTCATTTATTCACTTGCCATATCATTTTTCATTCTAGGTGGCAGTTTATTTAATGTTATAGACACCATCTTAGTTATTGGGTTAGGAATGGCCTAAACCGGCTCGTTCTGGACGAAAGTGGAACAGACGAAATGGAGTCTAGGATAGGGATACACTAGTAATTCTCAAGTCCTAACCGTGATCAGGTTCACTAAACCGATCGGTTTGCATGAAAACCAATGATATTCCGTTTGTGGAAGCCGACCTGTATTACTCGGTTTATGTACGACGTTTACTAAAAGTCATCGGTTTTATTGATTTTCATTTTTTATTGATTTTCAGTCGGTTTTTCATAAACTGATGAAATACGGTTCTTACTTTTAAAACGAAAAGGTAAACCCTCTCCGTGATATTCGTTTGTCAAGAAACCGTGATATATTCCCTTGTGTTTCCAGTGCAATCTCTAAGCTCTGGCGGTTGGCAAACAATCGAATGATGAAGAAACGACCAAAAGGTATTCGGTGTATTTATTTTTCTGACATCGCCCAATTCTTTTTCTAAGCACAATTTCCTGCAGGATGAGATATAGCTGGATGCATGGAGAGCACGTATGGTACGACAGGTTGGCGATGAATTTTCAGGACGTCCCATTCCCACACAAAAAGAAAAACTGGTACAAAGTGTCAAAGCTTAGCGGTTGCGAATTGTGATGATATTTAGCTGGATATGGCTGTCACCACAGCCAAACAGATCACACCAGAGTTTTTCTCTTTTCCGACAGATGTGAACATTTAGCCGAAGTCCTTTTGCTCAACCTTTTGCTCAAAAGTAGGTGGATGCTGAGAATAATTGTTTGATTCTCTGTTCCTCTCAATTCTCATTAACACAGTTGCAAAGAAAATTAATCAACTACCAAACGGAAGAGAAGCATCAGTAAGAAAAAATTGTTCGCCAGATCAAGATAACACGGAGTGGACAACAATCCATAACCCTGAACGTCTATACAGCTTGAAGTAAACCAGCATAAAAAAAAAGGGTACTACATAGAATAAAAGTTCAAGATTGGTGTTATACTAGATTTATACTTGTAAAACAACATGACATCAGAAAAACATCATAGTCCAGTATTTCAGTATATGCATGAAAATGGCTTATGCAACAAACACCATCTACATAGCACACCAAATCAATGATACCTGTACACGAGAATTTTTTTCGGAAAAAAGTGATACTACCAGGCTCTCTGCTAACTAACGCTGGGCTCTGACCAAACACATCAGAAAGGCAATGAAAATGAAGATGGTCTTGCGCATAGCTTTCGTATACAGTAATAGAGATCAACTGGTGGTTAATACCAGCGGTAGAGTACAATACAAAGCCAATAAGTATCCAAGTCACCACAGCATGGACAATATACAGCACAAAACAAAAATATCTAATATGGAACAACTCTCTGACTTCCAGGTCCATAAATTGACAGAAAATCAACATCACAAACTCATGAGAATACGTTTAAAGAATAAATAATGCCTGCAGGTGACAAGCAAAGACTGTTAGCTCACCGTCCCTTGGGGTTCATGATCTGTGAGAAGACAGCGCTAGGAGTAAGCCCGTCGGAGTCTATGCTAGCAACACTTTGGTCGCCCATGCTTATGGACGTGGTTGTGGTTGTAGTGGTGCTTGACTCGATCGATGGATCATTGGGATCCTTCTTTCCAGGCATCACAAGGGGAGTGCCCTCATCTGACATCCCACAACCAATGCTTCCACTATCCTCTGCACTTTCCTGCATTTGAAGGGCAAATTCCAAGTTCCACAGCACATCTCCCATTGAAGGACGATCGATGCCTTCATCTGAAACACATTTCTCAGCAGTCTCGGCAAACTTCTTGAAGCACTGTGGAGCGATCTTTCCCTTCAGGTGGGGATCAACAATCTGATCAAGAATACCCTTCTTCTGGCAGTGCAGGGCCCACTCTGCCAAGCTAACTTCTTCCTTAGCAAGAGTGGGGTTCAAGGCAGGGCGAGCACAGAGGACCTCAAATAGCACAACACCAAAGGAGTAGACATCAGATTTCTCAGTGAGCTGCTGCCTGCGGAAGTATTCAGGGTCAAGGTAGCCAAAACTTCCCTTGACAACTGTGCTCACATGTGTGTGATCCATCGATGGCCCAGTCTTTGACAGACCAAAATCTGAAACCTTCGCGACCCACTTCTCATCCAGGAGGATATTTGTTGTCTTCACATCACGGTGGATGATTGTGTGCTTCGCACCAGTGTGAAGGTAGTGAAGCCCACGGGCAGCACCAATGCAGATCTCCAAGCGCTGCCTCCATGTAAGTGGTGCATTCTTGGTCTTGTACAGGTGCTCACGAAGAGTTCCATGAGCCATGTAGTCATAGACCAGGATCATCTCATTCTTCTCCTCACAGTAACCAATCAGTGACACAAGATGACGGTGGCGGAGCTTCGACAGCATCTCAATCTCGGTTTGGAACTCATGCACACCCTGCTCAGACAGTGGATTCCCACGCTTGATAGCCACCTTGGTCACTCCACCATCAATCTCCCCACGATACACTTTACCGAAACCACCCACACCAAGGAGGAGGGATTCATCGAAGTTGTTTGTTGCAGCCTTGATCTCCGCAAATGAGAAATGGCGGCACAGGTTGGATGGCAGCGATGAAGCGTAGCTCCCAGTAGTATGTGATTTGGCTGAGCCAGATGAGTGTGAGTTGCCATAGAGTGAAAGTGGCAACCATCCAGAATGCCCATCACTCATGCCTGTGTCCTTCCCCACTCTGCTCCGACGCTTGCAGATCATAAAGCAGCAATATCCAAGTGCAAGAACCACCAGACCTCCAATCACTCCACCAACAATAGGCCCAACACTTGACTTCTTCACTGCTCCACCATCCAACGATGGCTCAACAGTTGGAACAGGGTTGAGCCCAGCAAGGCTCCCATTACTAAGCGGCAACTTGAACACCTCCAGTCCATTGAGGATAGCATCATAGTACTGTGGTTTAGCCTGGACATCTGGATAGAGAGCTACCCACAAATCCATAGCCCCTGAACCAACTGTTGTCACTACAAAGTCTTGATACACTGGACTGCCGATCCCATTGTTATTAGTCCATGCAATCACATCGGCGCCCTGAAAAGCAGTCTGGTTGTTGATGTAAATGTTGAACACCCGCTGATTGATCATAGTGATTGGATATTGTATCTCACAGAAATGAAGCCTCACAAGGTATGTGAACCCAGCATCCACCTGCATTATCCAAGTGAGGTTGTATGCCAAGTTCACGTTCTTGTCCGGCCCCATCGACCTTGCCGTAGCATAGACATCCACCGGCGCCACATACTCCGGCACATTGCTAGGGTAGGCAATGGTGACATTGTCATCTTTTGGGTAGGACACCCCGAACGCCGCACCAAAAACGTATGGCGAGTCATCGTCCCACGAACGGTAACCGCCCGTGTCCTTGGAGGGGGAGATCGCCTGGCCGCCGACATTAAGTCGGTACATTGTCTGCAGAGCAGTGCCAGCGTCGATCGGGAATGGCTGATTGTTGCCATCCCCGGTGACCAGATTCGGGGTGGAGATGTCGAAGAGATCGGGGGAGGAGACAACCTCGATGCCGTTGACGAACGCGTAGGCGTTGGGGTGGCCCTTCTCCGGCGTGAAGGTGAGCTCCATCGTCGGGGTCGTGACGTTGACGGAGAACTCGCGGACGATGTAGGCGAAGTTGAGGGCGGTGGCGGTCTGGTAGGCGCTGAAGTTGGAGAGGAGCGTGACGTTGGCGGCGGGGACGGAGACGGAGAAGCGCGCGTCGGCGGCGTCGCGGCTGGAGTAGTTGGCCGGGTAGAAGTGGAGCCTGAGGAACTTGCGGCCGGCGCCGAGCGGGAAGGAGTAGGTGAAGGGCGCCGCGGAGACCCTCGCGGTGAGGTAGGGCACCTGCGGCACCGAGGGGTCCTGCCCCGCGGCGGACGCCGAGCCGAGGCTCGCCGGCGCGTACTTGGACCCGGCGTCCCCGCTCCACACCCGCCCGTCCGTGTCGTTCCCCTTCCCCGTCGCGCCGCAGTCGAGCAGGATGTCGTCCCGCGGCACGAACGGCCCCGCCCCCGCAGCCGGCGCCGGCGCCGCCGCGCTGCTCGAGTTTCCGCCGCCTTGCCCCCGCGCGACGCAAGCCGCCACGGCGAGGAGGAGGAGGAGCAAGAGCACGAATCTGGAGCTTCCCATTGTGGCCACCCCCGCTCTCAACTACAACTAGCTAACTGCTTCCGCTTCACAGATCGGGCATCGAGCTTTCCTACCTCCTCGCAGATCTGGTGGATGTGGGTGAGAAACTCGGGTTCAAGGTGGAGGAGACAAGCAATGTGGGGGAGGGAGGTTTCGGGACTACTACGGCCGCGGCGTTATGCGGGAGATTGGGGGCGACGTCGGCAACGGCAAAGCAAGCGAGCTCCTCGCTCTGCTCGGTTGCTCGCGTTTTTGGTTCACTCCTCGTGGTGGGATGGGTTTGGCTGACGGGTGGGGACGGGGGCGGGAGGACGGGAGCGCACAGCGGGGAGATGGCTGGAGTTATGGAGGACAGCTCGCACCGTCGTGGCAGCCTGTTCGGGGTCGGGTTGCGCGGGATTTTTCTGTTGCTTTCCTTCGGCGACGCGGTTGGGAGGGGAAGGGAATCGTGCCCATGTGCGGGAGACGGGCCCACCGGCGAGCGGCGGACGCGGACGCGGACGCGACTGATCATGGCCAGGTGGCAGATGGTTGTTAGATCGAGAAACCTGGAAAGAAAAACTCAAAAAAAATAAAGAAAAAAAAACGAAGCTCGGATTGTGCTCGGATCATCTGAGTTCAGACGAAGGTGGCGACCCAAGTTGCCACCGAAGAGCTTTTCGTCATCGCAAGGGCAAGGTTTGTGGGGTGAGAGGGGATCGAACTTAGACCTCAGGATCACTCAATAGCTATGAGACCTACGCGCTAGCCAACTGCACCACCACCCCTTGTGTCCAAAACTCCAGATTCTGATAAACAGTCCTAAACTTTTACAAGAGCAGATTTCCGTGTCACAAAGTACTGAGCCGGACAGGAATTGAAGAACATGGCCGGGAATGGAGAAGAAGGAAAATAACTAAAGAAAAAAAAGGGAAGGAGGAGAAGAAGAGAGATTCGGCGGCGATTAGCCCGTTACCACGGGCTATTTAACTATTTGTTACTTATCTAAATGCCCCTATTTGATTTGTATTTAGTAATTTACCACTGGAGATAGGTGATTTCTTAACAATTTGCCACTTTTGTCTACGTAACGAGCCATCGTGGCGTGCCCACGTGGAAAGCGACGTGGTCCCCACCCGTCAACCCCTCCCCTCTCCTTCTTCTCTACCTCTGGCCGCCATATCTCCTCCACCTCGGCTCGCCTTGCCGCATATAGCTGCTTGTACGCCGACCTCCTCTTGCGGCAGCAACCGGCGACCACCGCGGCGGGGTGGGCGGAGGCGGCCGTGGGTTCTTGCCGCCGTCAAAGCTGCTTCACTTGCGCAAGCTTCCTGAGAAGGAGGCAGAGGACGCCGTCGAGGAGGAGGACGACGACCATGACGCCGATGGGGCCACCGCTGCTTCCTCAGGCCGAGAGGCGCACGCGCACTGACGGCGCTGCTGCTGCTGCTGACGCTCATCACCAGGACAGCGGTGGCACAGGACGTGAGGCTCGGGGACGTGGCGCCAGAGGAGACCACGGTGGTGGCGGCACTCGCAGTTGAGCTGGGCCAGCTCAGGGCGAAGATGAAGGGGGTGCGAAGGCTGAAGGTGGAGAAGAAGGAGAAGGGAGGGGTTCACGGGTGGGGACCACGTCGCTTTCCACGTAGGCAAAAGTAGGAAATAGTTAAGGAATCACTTCTCTCTAGTGGTAAATTACTAAGCGCAAATCTAAGAGGGGCATTTAGATAAGTGACGAACCTAAAAGTGGTAAAGAGCTAAATTCTCCGTTACCATGAGTGGCGGCGCGATGAGACTATTCGGTAGTCTGTTTTACAGCTATTAGGATTGCACTGAACAACATAGTTGTTCGGCTATCGGTTATGCATCTCAACCGTTGCTAGCGAGTACTAGACGTTGTAGTTGCTGCAGCAGCACTATCTTACTTGGGCCTCCTTATTTGGATCGAATTGGACATCTATGGGTCGTTTGATCGGAATTTTGCCGACCACATCAAGTAGACAAGTAGAAGGCCAGAAGCTAGTGACGCAGGGCCTTTTCTCACTATAGACCCCGCGATAAGTCCCATACAGCATTTACTGTTACTGTCTAATTTGCATACGGCCATACTCCTCCATCCAAAAAAAAGAGTAAATTTCACTTTGGGTCACTTATATTGACCTCAGTTGCACATTGGGCTAGGGGTGGGTCACTTTTTTCACTTTATACCACTTATTTTTACCATCCTTTGCAAGTTGGACCAGGTTTATTGATTGGGCCACTAGGCTGGGCTTCGGCCACGCAAGTAGGTGCGTTTACTAGCAGCCGGCAATCCCCGTCTACGGGCTCCGGCGAGGGCTCCCTCGACAACAATTCCGCCTCCCTTCTCTGGTACGAGTACTTCCCTCCCAACCCAAAAAAGTCTCTGTTCACACGCGGTTATTGTGCAGCGGCGTGAACTCAACAATCGACACACAAACGCCACCGTCTAGGTCCACCGACCACCGGCGCCAAGGTGGAGCAAGTCTCGTCATCCGGCCGGGGCGAAGGGCCTCTACCTGGTGGACGCCCATGCCACCTCGATCGATGGCTTCCCGAGGATGGAATCACTGGGGTCGTTGGCTGCCTCATTGATAGGATGCTTGTTGGGTTTACGAGGTAGACAGGTATATGCATCTGCTATTCGATCATGGATCAATCTATGGAGGAAAGTTTTGACCCTTGGACTTGGGAGAGTGAAACAAAGCAATGTATTCAGTAATTCCTATGAGATTTGGGTTTTGTGGGGGTAATCAATATTCCTCTTCTGCTCTTCGAAAAAACTAGAGTAATTAATCTGTGTTCCTCGGTTGGTAACCGGAAACATGTCGAATTTTCACAAGAAAAGAGAAGATCGGATCTTGATTACTGCTAAATGGAATAGTTGGCCTTTGTTTTTTTTTTCACATGCATGATCGGAATGGGATAGTTCTGGTGTGGTCTCAGATCCTGTCAACGTAATCAGATGTGCCGTAGTATTGTTTTGAGCGTGACAGGGCCGAGCGTGATCACCCTAGAGTCCGCGTCCACTGGACGACGACATGCTCGCCCTCGCCGATGACCACCCCGACGCGTCGCGCACGCTACTGGTATCGCGCACCACTGCCACCATGAGCAAACACCAGCTGCTCGCGTGGATTAGGCCGAAACGCATCCCTCCCATGCCGTAAACCTGGTCCAACCTGAAAAAGGTGGTAAAATTAGGTGGTGCTAACTGTTAAGTGAAAAGAGAAACTTAGCCCTAGCCCATTATGCCACATTGGTTAATATAGGTGGTTCAAGATGAAATTTACTAAAAAAACAACTTAAGAGGAGATTCTAGTGCAACAAATCTGGATAGAGAGCTGTTTAGATTCGTTGTCTGAACGGAGGGAGTACGCGGGATACACCGTCCGATCAAGACTCGATTCGTTGTCTGAACGGAGGAAGTACGCGGGATACACCGTCCGATCAAGACTCTGCCGTACCTGAGGACTGAGGCTCTTTCTCAACGGAACACACGGCATTAACACAGTTTACTGTCTGTACCTTTCTCGAGTTGGATCTCGTACTGTTACCGAGTGATGGAGCTCCCCATGGGCCATGGCGGGGGTCCGCCGGTCCGCTGCTGGCGCCCGAACTTCACATGGATCACAGCCATGCTGGCAGGCCATCGAGCTTCGTCGGCGGCTTGGACTGATAACGCGTGCAATTGCTTACACATCGACTTCTTCAAGTCTTCAACGACGACGATGGTGGTGGTGTGCACACGGGTAGGTGGCGAACTGGCGATGGCTGTGCGCATGTGCGGATGTGCCCCCGAGCATCGTCAGCGCCTGCAACAAAGAGCAGGAGGAAAACGCTCATGAGGACGACGATGAAGTGCCGTCTCGATGTTTTTTTGTTACCCTGGAGCTCACCTGCCACTTTTTAAAAAAAAAAATACGTGCAAATAACTGCACTACAATCGGGGTAACAAAAAATCATTGTTGCATAGTTTGTGGAAAAAAAAGGGAAACCAAGCTCAGTTTTGCTCTATCATCTGAAATGGGCAAGATGTGTGACGACCCAAAGTAGCCACGAGAGCTTTTCATCATCACTTGAGTTTCATATGGGGTGAGAGAGGCTCGAACTCTCGACCTCAGGATAACTCAATAGCTATGAGACCTACGCGCTAGCCAACTGCGCCACCACCCCCTTGTGTTCGAGGTGGCGGCCAGCACGGTAAAATCATATTAGCATGGTAGGCCAACAGCGCGCTAATACGAACGTGTGCTCCACTCGCTGCATCGCTGGTTTGGTTCGTGCTCCGCTGCCACGCGAGCGAGGGCCTGCACTGCATCTGCACGGGCGAAACGTTGGGGCAATCGTTTCTCGAATCTCCCAATGCAACGCGAGCACCGGCCGTTGCGCGCGGGTACTCGCCGGCGGCGACAGGGCGGCCGACGAGCTCAACAGGATGTTCCTGGTGGTAGTGAAGGCCGAAGAGAGCACGCACCGGAGGGCGTAAATGAGTTCTTGCGTGGCCAGCGCCAGGCGTTTGCAATTTGCAAAAAAGACAAAAAGACCTCTCCGCACCATGGGGAGATAGTAATACATGCTGCGTGTCGGGAACGGTCGTGTTTTAGGACCTAGGACTTTCTAATCATGTTTCCTTTTCTACTCGTACGTACGTTTTGAGAATCCTAAATGCATGGCATGGCCAAAATACATTGTTAAAATAAAATTGTGAAAAAGAACTAATCATGTTTCCTTTTCTACTCCTAGTACGTTTTGAGAATCCTAAATGCATGGCATGGCAAAATACATTGTTAAAATAATATTGTAAAAAGGAAAAACCAAGCTCAGTTTTGCTCTATCATCTGATATCGGCAGACGTGTGACGACCCAAAGTAGTCACGAGAGCTTTTTCATCATCGCTCGGATTTATGGGGTGAGAGAGGCTCGAACTCTCGACCTCAGGATCACTCAATAGCTATGAGACCTACGCGCTAGCCAACTGCGCCACCACCCCGTTGTTGAAACCAATTACTCCCTCCATCCCATAATGTTTCAACCTAAGATTCGTAGTCCTATAATGAGATAGGATGAGTCTAATCTCATTCTAGATTGCAATATTATGGGACGGAGAGAGTACAATAATCCATTAACATAATATATTCCTCCTGTTCTAGTTTGCGAGCTAGCAGGCGCCATATATCATACTACCTCCACCCATAATATAAAAGATTTTGAGTTTTTATTTACACTGTTTGACCACTCGTCTTATTCAAAAAATTTTGGATTTATTTTTTATTTTTTTTGACTTACTTTGTTATCCAAAATACTTTAAGCACAACTTTTCGTTTTTTATATTTGCACAAATTTTTTGAATAAGACGAGTGGTCAAACAGTGCAAGCAAAAACTCAAAATCCCTTATATTATGGGACTGGGGGGAGTATGTGACATTTAACTTTTTTTTAATAATTAAGGATTTGTGTCTATGATACGTGGGCTCTCATATACCTATAATATGCGAGTCTATGGGTAAATCATTTATCACCAGTGGTATGAGTGGCAAAAAGAAGTTAATTATTCCTATATGCAAAGTGCATTCTTCTACTTAACATGGTGACAAGAAAATTGAGAAAAAGCATGATTTCTCATTCGTGAAAGGACGGAGTCCGGTACACCATTCTCTTTACAGTTACAGATATTAGCCACTCACTCATCTTGATCTTACTTACACCGACATGCATCAAAATGTACATCAAGATCAACAAAAAATCTCCGGTCAGGTTAAGCCCCAGGCAGTCAAAGTTACCCCCGCTGCATACGCCGGATCAGGCAGATCCTTTGCCATATTACAGCGTTCTTCCATCAGTCAAATCATGAACGGTGCACAACCTTGGAGATAACTGAGAACGGGATCATCACCCGGTGGCCCTTGTCGCCGTAGAAGCCGACGCTGCCGAAGCTCGCGGAGGTGCCGTTCATGGTGGCGTTGACGACGAAGGTCACCTGCTGCCTCTGCCCGCTGGGGATGAAGAACTGGGCCGGCGACGCGGAGACGGCGACCCCGTAAGGGGCGCTGTAACTGACCGTGTAGCGCTCGTCGCTCGCCACGTTGGTTACAGTTCTTGTTATCGTTCTTGACTGGTTGAGCACTGCAATGGTGATGGAGGGGAGGTTCAGATCAGCCCCTGTCATGGCGGAGGAGCTGCAGCTGTTGCCGGTGTAATTCATCACTACTGGAGCAGAGCCGTTTATGCCACATAGAAAGGAGAAGAAGTCGTCGTAACCTGTAAAGTCATGCCGCTGTCAGGATTGAATAATTACTAAACTACACTGAGAATTTCAGTCTGACTTTATAGTGAGAAAAAATGTTGCATTGCATGTATGACATTCAAGCTATATTGCTGTTGCTACTTGCTAGTTTGTATTCATACTATCAGGTACTCCATCCGTTCCAGATAGAAGCATCAGATACATTTTGAAAAATGCATAGAAAAAATGCTTATATTTTGGAACGGAGTTTGTATAACATAGGCCCCAGTGAACTCTACCAAAGGTAGAGGTACTGATAATAGTAAAATAAACAGAAGAAATGGCAGTTGAACTTACTGGAATCAAATATGAGCCCAGGATCCAAAGCAGCAGTAGCATTGACAAATCCATTTCCCATGTCAAAAGGTGTAGCTGGAGATTGAGTTGAATTTGGATTGCCGTATGTTCTCTGTGCCATGATTGGATTCCCCTCCCTGTCACTGAGACTTGTAGTAGTCGATAATGCAGAACCTATAGCTGCAGGGCTAAAATAAGGGAACTTCTGCTTGACTAGAGCAGCAAGCCCAGCAACGTGTGGTGCAGCCATACTTGTACCGGAAATTATTGCAAAACTTTCACCTAGACAGTAAGTCAAAAACAACATAATTATTCAATTAATCTATGTAAGAAAAAAATTATTATATAAGCAAATTTATTAATAGAAGATGTTATAGGTTGGATTCTAATGCTAAACGAACATCTTATTAAGGGCTTCCACAATAACTAGAACAGTTTTTATACAACCTTTTCTGTAAAGCATTATGTCTAGAGCATGACCTAAACTTAGGTGTTAAAATGCACAATTAAAGAGTGAAATCATGTAGCGCTTTCTGTGATTACTTCTACATAAAATTTTGCTCTATCACTCTATCAGCGAGGTAAAGGGAATGGACTAACAAAAATGCAGAACAACTGTTGGCACAAATCAATGCCAACCGTAATCTACAAATGATTCATGGTACTATTGAAGGGGAAAAAATTAGGCTGAATCTTCAATTCAGACATAAGCTCTCTCATTAACAGGTATTTTAGCACCTAATAGAACTGTTAAAAAAACAGAAAATGCATGCCACTGTTTTGTTTTATTGCTATTTTATATGCCTGATGATTCAAAGAATAAAACTTATGTTCTAAACAAGATTAGAAAGTAGGTAAATTGTCAAGTTACCAGCAAATTCAGCAGAGTCCAATCCAAGAGAACTCCAAGCACCCCAAATGGAACTGCCAGGTGCTATCAGATTTGGCTTCAGGATATCAGCATTGGCCAGTGAGTTGTCCTCAGGATCAGGACCCCTGGCAGAATAAAACATTACTTTTGGGGCAGAAATACCATAATTTGGATTTTGGCCTCCTAGTATTTTTGCAATTGCACCAAAGCTGACGATTTTGTTTGAGGTCTCATCTCTCACAAGGGACTCATTGTAATAATTTAGAAATACCTGAGAATGTTGCATCACATTTGTTAATTTTCTTCATATCAGCAAGGGATGAGTAATAACAAGACTCTTGCTTTGGCTGTCATACCTTAGAGTCATCAGATGATGGTATTATAAGTCCAGGCATATCCATTGGAGTTGGATTCAGCTGGAATCCAATGACAAATGGATCCAGATAGAATATAACTCCTGCAGCACTGACATTCTTTGCAGTATCTAAAGCTTGCTTCACAGACGACAGGCCAAGTACAAATCGTATGGAATAGCTGCAGACCAGTATCTTTCCCCTTATCAGATCTTCATCAAGGTGGCTTGAATCTTGGCACTCCCCTAGGGACATTTCAGTAGGACTGGCTACATTGTTTTTCAGTGCATGAGGTGCAGCAACTAGAGTGAACATGGAATCACCATCTGTTCCAGCTGTATTTGTGGAGTAACACAAAGTTAGAATCAAACAACACCAGCCATGTGCAGTTGCGCACAATGGAAAATACTACTAGGAACTTACGAGCAAGGCCAACTCCTGTAATGGTCAGATTGTTGCCAAGTACAACATAGTTGTTGTATTCCCTGTCATGGGCAGATGCTCCTACAGTAAAAATCCATGGACTGTATGATGACATGCTCTTGGGGGAAGGACCTGTATTTCCTGCAGCTTGCACGACAAATATGCCAGCTTTTACAGCTGAAAGAAGAGCCATGTCAATTGGATTAAAGAAGGTGGCTAGTCCAGGAGGCCTTCTATTTGGGGTAATGGATAAGCTGATTATATCAACATTATCTTCAGCTGCCTGCAATATGATGAATGACTTGTCATCAATAAAATGTCACAATGTGCCCATATGCATTGTAGCATTCTAAAATGTGGTATTAATTTGTGCTAAATCAAAAGAAGATAGTTAGCTTGCAGGTAAACCATTACCTGATCTATTGCAGCTACTACATCAGCAGCAAACCCTCCAAAGCTTTTGTACAGAGCTTTATAGACAGCAATGCTGGAAATTAATTTGTCATTAACATTTGGGAATAAAGTGGATCTTATATGTCTCCGCAGAAAAAGGTAATGGACTTACTGTGCACGAGGAGCCATTCCACTTGCATTCCCAAAATGATGCCCAGCCACAACAACAGGAATTCCATGATTACCAGCTGCTATGGATGCTGTATGGCTGTACGATGTACAAAAAATATATATCAGAAAACAGATATGCTGACAAAAAAAGAGCCACAATGACATATGGAGTGAAAAATGTAAATGAAATATCTATGAATAATTTAGGCAGAAGCTGCAGAACTGGATAGTCAAACAAGAAAAATAAGAAAACTCTACTGTAGCACTATGAATTCTCAAGAATGCTACTATTTTACTTAAAATTTGCAAGCGTGATTGGACAATGTAACAAAACCAGTAGTAGATTGGTAATGGCTTCGTATTCTTGCTCCTTCAAATAATTTTAAAGGGTGAATCAGCAGATAGTACTTACGTCCCATGACCATCACTATCAGAAGGTGAAGCATGATCTTGAGAGGCATTGAACACTCCCCTGGTTATTGCAGAGGCTGCAAAATGCCTAGCTCCCACAAGTTTTCTGTTGCAGGATCCAGATGGAAAATCATTTGTAACCTCGCAAATGCCAGAGTAATGAGCAGGAACAGGATAACTGTCAGTTATCAAGTCGTCTGCGAAGCTGGGATGAGTTGGATCGATTCCTGTGTCGATGAGGCCAACAACAACACCCTGACCAGCACATTGTGGGCCACCCTCTTGAACCCATGCTCCTTGTGGCAAACCAAGGAATTCAGGGGTATGAGTTGTTGCCGTCCTAACTGAGAAGTCCAACATTACATTTGCCACTTCTTTCGTCATAGATAGCCTCTCTGCCTTTTAAATTTTAATGCAAGGAAAACCAGTTAAAACCTTATTGTCAATCCAAATAGCTTCGATATTTTTTAGTGCTATAAAAATCAGTTGAGATTTAGAGAAGTGACCAAATCTAAACAATCATGCAATAAACCTGACAGGTTCTTGAGAACGATGATAAAACAACCAAGGGTATACAAGGTACAACATTTTAACATGCTAAAACATAGCAAATTTTAGAGAGAGATAGCAGTAGAAGCAAAATCATAAGTGTTCAGTGTATGTAACCTAGCAGATATCAACACGCCATAATTCATATTGCCATGGACTTTTCTTTCGAGAACATTGATGCAGCATCTAATAGTCTGAAGATTTCAGAACTTCTTTTTGAAATGCAACTTAAAAAAACTTGTAATGTGACGTTACAGAACAAAGGTGCAAAAGTGGTGGAATCAAAGAAAAAAATGATACCTGCTGAGGAGTGATGACAACAGCAAAACCATTAATCAGATAGCGGTAGCTGTAGAGCTTTATATAGCGCTCTCCTCTCAGTGTTCTCTTCAAGAGTGAATTTTGAAGACGAACTAAGTACGAGCCATAATTCATAGGTTGGGCTGGACCATGCCTGCATTACAACACTGGTGAGCAAAAAAACGAAAACTTAATTTGTGACAAGCAAGGGAAAATACTTGCTAAAAACTTGTCAGATAAACAGTAAAGTACAGAATCATCAATAGCACGCTAGCAGCACAGCCGCACACACATTGTTCATGTTGGTATTAAATTCCATATCTTTTGTGTGTTAAAAAAACCAAACATTTCTACTGCAATAGTGGGTTAGCCTTCCCAATATTAGCAGCAACTACACCAATGAACCGAGCTGTCGGCAGATAATGACGTAGCATCTCTAACATTTCACTATAGACCAATCAAAATCACCCAAAAACTCCTCCCCCAAAAGGAGAGATTCTCACCCAAACTGAATCGTACATACATATTTCGCATAAACTGTAAAGATAGAGCAAAACCAAATCATAGAGGAGTAATAAACCATCAAAAACCTTGGCTTCATGAGGATGCTAGTGGACGGGGTGTCCCCCCCGCCGCCGCCGCCGCCGCCGGCGACTCTGCTGCTCCCAAACCTCTCCAGGTCGAGGCGCTTGTGGAACACCGGCGCCTGCTTCATGGTCACAATGTACACCGCCGTGCCCTCCTCGAACGCGCCAGCGGCGCCCACCAGCGCCGCCCCAAGAACCGCCACGGACAGCCATGCAACCGCCCACTGCTCCCTCCGCCACGCCCAACCCATCGCCTCAAAGAGAGCTCTTCACCGGTCAGCTCCCAAAGCGCCGCAAGAATCGCCAAGAAACACTAGCTGCGGCAAGAATCCATTGGGGGAGCAAAAAGGGCCTCGCTCGACGAGACGATCTCTTCCGAGCGAGGTGGAGCTGATGAAGCTAGTAGCACTACTACTACGGCCTATGGGGCTTGCTCCAGGCTCATTAATGGCGATGTGGAAGTGGCCGCCGCCCCCGCCGTGCCGTGTGCGCTTTAAGCCGCGGCGAGAGTGAGAGAGAGCGAGTGGGTTGCACTGAGGCTGAGCTGCGGCACAAAGACGAGCAGCGAGCACACCCAATAAAGAGCGAGGCAGAAAGCCAGAAAAGCGCACTCCTCCGGTCCTCCCCTTTTATGCCTACTTTGATTTGATTTTAAAACTTCGGTTCGTGTCAAAAATAAACATGTAATACGAAATTACGATCCATCGTCATAGTATCTTATATTATATTTGTTTATTAGCAGAGATGTAAGCAACTGCTAAATTCTAATTTGTTTTTTTATCATGTAGTACTACTTATGTTTTGTATTATAAGTCGTTTTGATTTTTTAAAATTAATTTTTTAAGTTTGATCAAGTTTATAAAAAATTATAGTAATATTTTAACACAAAACAAAGAAACTATTAAAGTATATGTAATGTTAGATGTAATAGAATTAATTTAATGTTATAAATGTTGTTATATTTTTTTCATAAAATCAAACTGCTAAAGAGGTTTGTTTTAGAAAAAGAACAACTTATAATATAAATGAAGGAAGTAATAATTATTAGTTATTCTAAAAGTCTAAATAATAATCTATACTGTTTGAAAATGCTAAAAACTTTAAGTGAAACTTATGGAGTCCAAACATGAATTGACACAGCTGCTGCGTCTCTCCTCTCAGCGAAAGAGCAAAACACACAGCTCAGCGTTGCAGAGAGAGTGAGGCAGACGAGGCGAGGCCTCGGTTTTCCATTACCTCGTGAACTGTGTGGTACTCCGGCCTTCTCTTGGAAGAAGCCATTTTACAGTCCATTTTTACTGCCAGAGTACGATGAAGAAAGGTGGTGGAAAAGATTGATCGAACGGAGATTGATCGAATCGCTGCTTGCGGCACATGACACCAGAGTTCACAGTGCAGTGCTATGCTAATATCCCGATGTTTCAGACAACAGAAATTGCCGGTGTTCTGCTTCTGTGTACCTCGCGTTGCAAGATCAGTAGTGGAGTACTACTGTCAACAACAACTGCTGCTACTGCTCCTTTTTGACTAAGGGCTGTGTTTAGTGCACGCTAAAATTAAAAATTTGGTTGAAATTGGAAGGATGTGATGAAAAAATTGAAAGTTTGTGTGTAGAAAAGTTTCGATGTGATGAAAAAATTGAAAGTTCGAAGAAAAACTTTAAAACAAAACACGGCCTAATAATATTTACTCGTATCATTTTGAACAAGGTTATTATCAAACTCTAAATGTCTTACTATATAAATAACTTTTAAAATATGTCTTATAAATATGGTGACCATATAAGATTTTAAAAAGTGCTTGATAAAATCATATACTTATTGATATTTCTGTATGTATTGTAATAAAAAATAGTGATCAAAATTGGCTTTGAAGATCATGTTTCTATCCAAAATGTTAAGTAATATTATCAGGTTGGAGGGAGTAGTACTAATTCAGTATATGATCATGAAGTCCGTGACCATTGTTTTACTCATGCACCTGGTCAGAACGGGCGTGCTGTAACGGAATTGTATGTGCAAGCGTTGCATTTGCACTGTTGCAGCTAGAGTGAACAGGCTGTAGAACAGTGCTAGCGCTATGGATTTTTCTCTTCCGTTTTTATTGATCTGTACTGCTGTACTGCTATGTCACAAAAGGAAAAAAAATCCATACCCCATGATTTCAATGGATTATTAAATGGGTTGGCCCAGAGCGACGCATCATCCGTGCACGTCATCCAACGGTCAATTCTCTGGGCTCATTAGAATTTTCTAACAGTTTTTTAATCGCTCTGGAGTACTGATCTTAACGTGATGCTGCATTGTCTACCCGAAAAAACTGTTTTCCAGATTCTAACTGCAGGTTTTTCAGAATCTTGTCTTTCCACTATATGAAACACTGTTCTTACCATTCAAGCTCTTATTAACATGTTCTATTAGTCTAGTGCTACTCAATTATCAGCAGCTGAGGTGGAAAGCTAACTGACCTTAATATGCTCTTATTAACATGTACTCCTACCTACTAATCTAATATTGTCTCTGTTATAAAAACTGGCACAGACCTTAATAAGCTGAATAGAAAAAATATCATAGAAAAGTCCAAACTGATGACGATCTCAAGACACAATATTTGTTACTAATAAGGTTTAAGCTGAAAACTGAATTACTGGAAAACTTATTACGAACACCACTTCTTGATTTAACATATTACAATGTATTTAGATATCATGACCCTTGATTGACCATATTGGCGACTCTAATTCTATTTGAACATCTAATATAACTTTAAATTTTAAACTGTAATCGTTTTTATATACATGTTTAACACAAAACTCTTAAGAGTTTCAACTGAAACATGCAAAGCCTGAATTTCCAGTTGGAATTCTCCAACCGCAAAGGATCTTGGCCACGTTCAGCGCCGGTCCCAGTTTATCTTTTATAACCCAGCACTTTGAGCTTTGAAGCACAATACCAGGCATGTCCAATTGATAATGCTGCTCGGTGTGCACTTTGACTGCACTTTGTCGATGACCGATTATAAAAACCGTGGTGTGCTTCAGTAGTCGCCGGCAGCTCATGATTTCGTTGATCATCTATTCCAAAGGTGCACATCTCCAATAATCATCACCAAAAGTTTCATGGATCCAAAGCACAAAACCGAGAGACCCTAAATTCAAGGCCGTCCCACCCCTGTTGCTAATCCACCTCTGAAAATGGGGATAAGACATAGCAAAGGCATTTGCAGAAAAAAAAAACGAAGTTTGAGCCTCCCCAAACCAAAATGACTTTGATCATGTACTACCACGAGACAATCCAAGAACCTTTGTCCATCTCTCTCTCTCTCTCTCTTTTTGTCCTAAAGAAAGAGATCTGAGGGAGAGTGTGAGGCATGTTAACATGCAACCAAAGATACTAACCGATGGCGACAGAACACAGGCCACAAGAAATTGGAGTACGTGATCACGTGATGAGTAGTAGTAGATCAATGAGCAAACTACGCATGCACTCCTGGTCACCTGGGGCCAGCATTGCTCTCGGCTCCCTGCAACCAGTCAACCAGATTTTTTTTTAAAAAAAAAAAACTGGGAAAAGCGACTCACCAACACTGTTAGAGTAGGTGACAATGGCATTGCAGCAGCTGCTAGCTAGCTTGCTGCATCTTTACTGTGGTCCTAATTAACAACTTGAAAAGTGCAAACACTTCATTTCATGGCCTCCATTGGGAGGTAGATGATGGTAGCACTGAACTATGGTAGCCGGTAGGCGCCAAGGTCACCTTTTTTTTTTTTTTTTACTGCTGTCTCCTCTGCTTTCTGCTTGCCCGGCCGGCCACCACCACTCGGCTGCAGAGAAGCGTAGTGCAGCGCTACGAGCTGGTCCATTCTCGTATCCTGACCGGCTCGATCGATCGATCGATCGAAATGTGAGGTGTTTCTGACGAAGAGGGCAGCTAGCTACTAGCTAAGCTGTGTGCAGAAGCAGACGAGGAGAAAAGGGATGGAAAAGGGTTAAAGGGGCTGGAATTATTGCGCATAGTGAGTCGGCGGGCTAAAGCTTGGCCAAGCATGTCCGGCAATTGTTCATGGCATGAATTATTCGAGAGCACGTACACCGGCGGAGAAACAATGTTTACAGATCATAAACACCACTTTAATTAGTTAATTATATACTTGGTAGTTTTCAAGCCAAAGTTTATCATACAAAATGGAAAGACCATCGTAGCTGCACCAACACGAGCATGTAAACATAATAAAGCTGGCTTGCACGCTCGACATGATCGCCCCATCGGCCAAGATTCCTTCATATCCGCGGGCTACCGACTTTGCAAATTTCTGTACTACTCCCTCCATCCTAAATGTTTGACACCGTTGACTTTTTAAAATATGTTTGACCGTTCATCTTATTCAAAAAATTTAAGCAATTATTAATTCTTTTCCTACCATTTGATTCATTGTTAAATATACTTTTATATATACATATAGTTTTATATATTTCACAAAAGTTTTTAAATAAAACGAACGGTCAAACATGTTTAAAAAAGTCAACAGCGTCAACATTTAGGAAAGGAGGTAGTATGTAGTATAATCTGTTCCTACTTCATCATAGCACGCACTCACTCGGATGTAGATTATACACTACTGCATGCGTACTAGCAGTACGATTTTTCTAAGCCGAAGCTGCACTTCGCTGCAGGGCGAGCATTATCCGGTCAGTCCGGTTCACGCCGCGGCCGCATGCATCCAACCGCTTATAATTTGCAGGTTCGCCGCCTTGTTTTCTCCTCGGTTCCGGGCGGTGCGGTGGGGCCTCGGCGCGGCTAAAGATTCGGAATTAGGGGGTGCTGCTGGTGATTCGATCACGGGGGAGAATGTCTCTCAATTCCACTTTAGTGGTGGTATCTGCTGCTAATCTAGGGCTGGTTTGGTTTGTGTTCTAAATTGGCCTTATCAATTTTTATCAATGTCAAATTTTGATAACTTTTGACATGACTAATTTTGGCAAAGGTAAAATTGTGTTTGGATTGAAGCCAAAATAGCCTAAATTAACTGTTGAAATGACCTATTTTCTTAGTCATGCTAAAATTTGGCTCTAAACCAAATAGATAATAAACATTATTAAAATTATCAAATATTGATAAGTCCAATACAGGCCTCAAACCAAACCAAACGCCTAATCTGCGTCGGCTGTAATGTAGCGGCCGTCGAACAGTGCGGGCATGTGTGGCGACAGGTGTGCGTGCCCGCGTGGGAGACGTTGCGAGAGGTAACCGTTGGATAACACTGACACGGACCGGCTAAAAGGCTTAAAAAGCAGCTAATACACAGTACAGTACTAGTCTATACCCACCAAAACGGTCCGGATTAGGGGCTGATTGGTTTGGTGCCACACATTGCCACACCACATGTTAGACATGCCACAGATTGTTAGCTTAGCGTTTAGTTGCTTGTTTCAGTTGTGGCAAGCCACACTTTCTTGTTTCATGGGCCTACATGTCTTATACTTATTTTCTAGCTAAACATTGCCACACTTGTGGCCAACAAATTATTGGCCACACTTTATTTGCCATGCTACATCTATGACAAATTAAGTTATGGCAATATTAGGCAACAACCAAAC